TTCCATGACAGGCTACAGTCCATAGGGTCACAAACAGCTGGACGTGACTGAGCGACTAACCACACACACAGGATATTAAAAAGTCCTTAAAGACACAGAGATTCTCTTTTCTGTGTGCTGTCTACTGCACCTGGTCTTTTTTCTTTTATTCTTGTAAATACGGTCGCTTAAGCAGCACTGTTGGAATCAGAATAGAAACTACTTTTCAGAAACCAAACTTCTCAGGTTAAGTGCTATGACTTCCTTAACAGATGACGGTGTAATCCTCAGCAAATCTCCTTATTCCCTGGACTTCAATTTCCATCTTTGTGAAAACAAAAAGATCAAACTACCTGACACTGAAAATTCCCTCTGGCTTTTAACGATCTGTGACCTTTTTTTTTTGCCTATGAAAAATGATATTTTTTTATCATTATAAAAGTTAAAAGCTATCTACAACAAACTCAAATAATAAAGAATGTATAAAGTAGAGGTTGGCAAATTTTCTCTGTAAAGAGCCAGGCAGTAAATATTTTCAGCTTTCAGGCCATACAATCTGTCACAACTACTCAGCTCTGCCCCTGGAGCTCAAAAGCAGTACATAAGCCAATAAGTGCAGCTGTGTTCCAATGAAAATAGGCAGCCAGCCATGAGCCATGCTTTGCCGACCTTTAGAATGAAAGCATCAAGCAAAAGCCACTCTTCTTCCTTTGGCTTCCTCTTCCAGAGCTACCACTTTTAGGTCTGGCTTATGCTCTTTAAGCCACATTCTCATATAACAGATTTGTATATGGAGCTTTACTTAATTTTTTTAAGAAGAAAGTGGGATCATTCTATACATGTTAATAATTCCCCTTTGCCAGACGATTCAAGTTCTTCACTCTCTGATTTTTCACTCACAAATATTCCTCCTGTGAAATCCTCTTACACTGACCTTTGGGCCCTTGGTCCTGCAATGGTAAGCAGTGGTCAGCTGTGACACATCTGATCCTGTATCAGTCCCACCAATCATGACAGAGAAAAACAATGCAAGAGACTAAACTTGGGAGTGGGGAGGAATCGAGAAAATGAGGGAAAGAGAAAAGGTACAGACTAGGAAGGGAACAACAGTGAAGGATGAAGAAAGGTCAATACCCAAGCCACAGGTACCTTTTTCAAAAATGTTGCAGCCGTTTCTCTCTTTGTTGCCGTGATCCGCTTCACCCCATCTGGGGACTGGACACGTATTATCTGTGGTAAATGAAACAAGGTGGTTACTGTGCAGACTTGGAAGGTCCCGACCTATTACGGAAACTAACATCTGCACTCTCTCGGCATATGAGTTACCGAAACTTAACAGTCAAACTTCACATTTCCCCTTGCGTATTGTAACCCAATGTTTCTAGAAGATGAAGCAGAGGTCTGAGAGTCATCAGCACAGGGGAGGACATCCTAAGAGGGCTGCCTTAATAATCAACTTGTATCATCTCACTCAGAAAACTACAGCTTCAATTTTTTTTTAATTGATTTGAAAAAAAAATAAAAAAATAAAAATTGATTTGGCCATGCCACATGGCTTGTGGTATTTTAGTTCCCCAACCAGGGCTTGAACCCACACCATCAGCAGTGAAAGTGCAAAGTCCCAACCTCTGGACCACCAGGGAATTCCCACAACCTCAACTTTTAACCATTATTTATAAAGAATATATCTGAAAGACCAACATTTTTCTCTTCAGGTTTACACAAATATTTTTTTTTTATCAGCAGGAAAAAAACCCAAGAATCATGAACAACTGAGTTGTTAAAAAAAAAAAAAATCTCTGTTCCCAGATCCATACAGATGACTTTTAAAAGATCACGGAATTCAATGTGGAACTCCCTAGCAGACTAGCAAGGGTTAGGACCCGCAGCGAAAGCCAAGGGCACGGGTTTGATCCCTGGCTAGAAACTAAGATCCCTGCAAGCCACAAGGCCAAAACAGAAAAAAAACTAAAAACATAAAAGGATTGCAAGAAATCTTCTAATTTATTTACTTTCAATAAAAAGAATAAAAGAAAAGAAATAAGATGTTTAATACCACGGTAAAACTTGTCAGGGTTTTAAATATATGTATTTTCATGGCTAGCCATGAAATGGTTGTCAGGTCTGGAAGACAGCTGGACAGAGCAGCACTTTCTAGACTTGATTTTCACCCTGACAGAAGCCCAGTGAAGGCGAGCTGTTGTGTCCAGGCCAACCATCTGAGGTCTTGCCTCAATGGGGAGCATGAAATGGCATGCCCTGCCACCAGCAAGACAGAGGATGTTCCAACCACCTGAGGGATGGGAGGAGCCAAAAACAGAATGTGCCAGAAAGTACTCATGTTCTTCCTCTCAGCAACACTGCACTGTATACTGTATTCAAAACAACACTATACAGATGAGAAATGTCATAAGCAATTGATTTTGAAAGGCTTTCATTGATACAGGACAAAATGCCACAATGGCTTTTGATCTAGTCTATTTTATCAAACATATTAAGAATAATGTAGGGACTTCCCTAGGGGTTCAATGGCTAAGACTCTGGGTCCCACTGTAGTGGGTTTGTGTTTGATCCCTGGTCAGGGGACTAGATCCCACATGCCACAACTAAGATTCTATGTAGCCAAATAAACAAATATTCTTTAAATAATAATAATTTAGATTTTCCTAAACTATTCCTAAGTTTCCTAAAAAATTGCTTGCCTCTGTCTGTCTCTGTTTTGATTTTTTTGGCCATACCTCTCAGCATGCAGAACTTTCCCAACCAGGCATCAAAGTCCTACCCCCTGCAGGGGAAGCAAGGAGTCCTGTCCCAACCACTGGACTACGAGGTAAGCCCTTTCTCATTTTCTAGTTGTGTGTGTGTGTGTGTGTGTGTGTGTGTGTGTGTAACTCGTGTCTGACTCTGCAACCCCATGAACTGTAACCCGCCAGGCTCCTCTCTTCATGGAATTTTTCAGGCAAGAATACCGGAGCGGGTTGCCATTTCCGACTCCAGGGATCTTCCTGACCCAGGGATTGAATAACTTTTGCTTAAATGAAAAGGTTTTACCCCCATATTGTATTCAATTTTAAGGTTTTGTTTTGAATAGTCCTTATGAAATTCCAATTGTTAAGAGTGTATTTTCTTTATTTTTGCTTCTCAATAACATCTGTTTAACTTTCTCACTCATCTGTGTGTACCACTCATCTGTGTGTACCACAAACAAAAAGTCTTTTGACTTTTGATTTCTAGTATACTCTAGATTCAACATCTAGAAAAATGTTTTCTTAATATACAGCCTGGACATAAGGTAACCTCCCACTTACTTGTTTCTGCAATCTGTCTCCAATACTGAGGCAGGTTAAGAAGTAAAGAGCCCTGCTTCTCTTTGAGGGGTGTCGTGACTGTGGCTTTCACTGTTCACTTAGGACCAAGAGCATGACACTCTACCCCTTGAGGAGTTAAAGGTCAGGATTGCATGTTTCTGGAGAGTTCCAAAGGTTAAGAAGTTATTCTACTTGTTCATTTACAAGACACAGCAGTCGAGGTTTCCAAGCTAAGCTCAATATTTAACTCCGAAAGACAAACATGACTTATACTGAGGGAAGTTATGGCCTGGCCTTTGACACAGGCTATAAAGTAAAATACACAAGAAAAGACAAACCCGGCAACAGAGACACATTAACTTCTTGGTAACCTAGGTCTCCCTATTTATAAGAAAGTGAGCCCAGAATACTTCTTGAGGGAGTCAAAGAATTAGTGAGATAAAAATCAAGTTATTCCACAGAAACTTTTAGGAGACTTCTTCTAAATAAGCAAACTTTTGAAATAAATTTCAGAAGAATGATCTGTTTCAATTCCACACAATGTGAGAAATTCAGCAAGAGATCCATGCTATCAACTAGAGCTTTGCCTTATACACAGAAACAAAGGTGGCTTTCTCTGAAACAACTCACTTACCCACAGGTATTTCAATTCAGTTAAAAATACTACAGTAAAGAAAAAGTTTGGAAGCATATCTGGGTGCTAACTCTTAACCTATTTCTAGGATGAGTTACCAACAATTGGTGGTAAGTCTTATTTTAAAATGAGTTACTCGTTTCTCTTGGGCCATTTATTACCTCTGCTCATCTCTAGGCTGCGAAACAGAGAAGGAGCCAGGGCCCCTGAATAGAGAGCAGAGTTAGGACTCACTAGAGGAAAAGTCTGAAAGTCCCAGAGCCAGAGGTTCCTGCAGACCTGACCATCCAGAGAATGAGTGCTATTCCCAACAAATGGCAAAACTGTTGGAGGCCCTCCCAAGGCCAAGTTCTGAACATGACTTGCCACCCCATACTGCTTTTGCTTCCCCCAGGAAATTCCAAGTGGCCCTTAAAGTTAACCAAAAAATTCTTCTGTCCAGCAGGTCTGTTGGGTTTTTTCCGGCCACACTGACTTCTGAGAGGAACTTTTGTGAAGCTAAGGGACGGCTAGTTTTTTCCTGATTTTTCACTTAAAAACACACACACACACAAAACTTTAAGGGGACGTGTGTTAATCTCTAATTTCGGGTACAAAATGAGATCTTTTAACATCCCTTTACAGACAGGTAGCTGTCAAGGTCTCCTTGCCATCTGCCAGTCCACCGTCTCCCTTCTTCGCAGCTTCCTCTAGCGGGGATGGGGGTCCCCATTTATAGAAAATGCTCTTTTGGTGACCTGTGACAAGGAACTCACTGGGACAACGGCAAAGAGGCAGGAAAGACGGACAAGAGGCGAGGCGGGGTCGAAGTCCCCGGCAACCCGGAGCCCCTGCGCGCCCGGCGAGACCCCGCGACCAGGAATAGAGAGGCCAGCACAGCCCACACCCTCAGACAGCCCGGTCTCCCACTCCAGCCAGGGACGGGAGGAGTGAGGAGAGGAGGTCGGGAACCCAGCCGGCTGGCCGGCCCAGGAGGAGGAGGGCGGGCCGCTGCGCCTCTCCGCAGGCCGCGCCGGCAAATATGCTGCCTCATCCCGGCGCCCTCCCGCCCGGCCGCCCCACTCACGATGCTCTCGGCCATGGTGGCCGCTCCCGTGTCCGGGCTCGAGCCCCGGGCTGCCGCCGCCTGCCGCCCCACGGGCCTCGCAGCCCCGACCCCGGGCTCAGCCCCGGCCCCGGCCTCCCGCCGCCGCCGCCACCGCCGCTCCAGCTTCACCGCCCGGCCGCCACCGCCGCGACGTCCTGTGCCTCACCCGACGCGCTCCCCCGGCCGCGCGGCCGCGCAACCAGGTTCCGGCCCCGCAATCAGGTTCCGGCCCCACCAACGGCCCGCGCCTGCGCAGGGCGGCCTCGCGCCGGGCTCCGCGGGAGAGGCTCCCCCCGCTGGCCACGCGGTGGAGAGACGCTGCGGTGCAGCCCAGAGGGAAGCATCATCGGAGCGCTTCTCATCCACAGACAGAGATCCGTGGGCTCGAATTGGGCATTCCCGGCGCCCTGCTAGTCAAACGGAAATTCTGTTCTAAGTGTGTTGGGGGGGTATTTGGAGCGGTGAGAATGGAGGGGGCATGCTCTGTGTAACATTGTAGGATTCTTCTAGAAGCTGAATGGAGAATAGTGCAGGAGGAGAATCAGGGAGACCCTTGGGGAGCCTGAGGCTTTAGTTCAGAGGAACACTGTGGCCATGAGGAGGCTGGACGCAGGACAAACATTGGCGGAAGAGTTGATAGGGTTGCTCCTATCAAGGGGCAAGGTGTGTGGTTTTTATCCCGCTGACACGCATCCTGCTTTCTCACCCTGTCCTGCTCTTGTACAGGACGGCCTCTTTTTGCTTCTTATATACTGACTGTATCCCTTACACAGAAGGACAAGACTGCGTCCTGGTGGTGACGTCTCCTAGTGTGGTCACGTCCAAGCATTCACAGACGCGCTATTCTACTCTACACCACTTACTTTTTAATCTCCGTTGTGTGACTGCGAAGGTATTACATTAATGTTTTAAAGTTATTTCAGTAGTTCTATCTCTGGGGCTGCCATGACAAAATACTACCGACTGAGTGGCTTAAATTTATTTTCTCACAGTTCTGGAGGCTGGAAGTCAGAGATCAAGCTTGGTTTCTTCTGAGGCCGCTCTCCTTGGCTTGCAGATGGCTGTCTTTGTCCTGTGTCTTCCCTCTGTACAAGTGCATCCCTGATGTCTCTCTGTGTCCCAGTTTCCTTTTCTTTTAAGGACATTAGAGGAGGGCCCGCCTTAATGGCCTGATTTTAAGCTAACTACCTCTTTAAAGGCCTTACCTTCAAAGTCTCATTCTCAGGTACTGGGGTTGGGACATCAACATAGAAATTTGGCCGGGCGGGGCGGCGGGTGGGGGGACACAGTTCAGCCCATAACAGTGGTGGTAACTACACTTTCATACAAAGGCTACCCAATATCAGAACAGGGCTGAGATGGAGCCAGAGGTGACAACCATCTTCCTGAGAGCCTGCTTTGAAGCCTGATGCAGTAACTGATGACGCCGGGCGTGTCCCCTTTGAGGAAGAGACGAGCCACAGTCTGGTTGCACTAGGCCTGACCTCCAGCTCCTGTCCTATCCCTGACCTACTGCCCATAGCACAGCAGCCTGGGTGGTGCTTTTGTCAGATTGGATGCATGTTACTCAACACCTGTCATCTCCTCATCTCACTCGGAGAAGAATTTGAAGACAGCCACCCTTCTTCAGACTTTCCAGGCTTGCTCCCATCTAAGGCACCACACACGCCCGAAATGCTCTTCCTGCACGTTAGTCTGGCGTGTGCCGAGTGCACAGCCCAGACCCCCACTCAGGACCAAAGCTGCTGGTGGCGCTGGCTGAGCTCCCCTTTGGGGACTTGGCTTACTCCCGATCACAGTCCCTTCCCCCACGCGGCTCATGCCCAATAACAGTCTATGGTTAGCAAGGCCCAGCCCCATGTCTCAGTCTGGGACAACTCTGCAGGCCTTCCCAGCTGCCGGGATCCCTGAGGCCTTTATTGGGACTGTCTGACTGCTCACCTTCTCCCTCTGCCTGTGCCATGCTGCTTCCATTGCGGGTCTGGATCCTGAGACACTCCCAGGGGACCCTCCTGAACTCATCCTCACAGGGGCTTTGCCCCAAGAAAATCCATGAGGCTCGTTCCCTCTCTTCCTTCAGCTTCTTCTCAGTCCTCTTGTTGTTTTCTTTTCCTTTTTTTTTTAATTTTTAAAATATGTATTTATTTATTTGGCTGCACTGCAATCCTGACATGCCAGGATCTTTAGTTGCAGCATGTAAACTCTTTACTTGTGACATGTGAAATCTAGTTTCCTGACCAGAGATCGGAGCTGGGCCCCCTGCATTGGGAGCACAGAGTCTTAGCCTCTTGACCTCCAGGGAAGTCCCTCTTTTCTTTTTTTAAATTGAGATGACATTCACAGAACGTACAGTTAACCATTCTAAACGGGGAAACTCACTGTCCTTTAGTGCGGTCCCAATGTTGAACAATCACCTTCTCTATCTAGTCCTAAAGTTTTCTTCACCCCTGAGAAGGAAACCTCACACTCATTCAGCCGTGGCTGCCATTTCCCCATTTCCCAACCACTGGCAACCACTAGTCTATCTTCTGTCCCTATGGCTTTTCCTATTCTACAAGTGGAATCGTATAATATATGGACTTTTGTGTCTGACTTCTTTCACTGAGCATCATGTTTTCAAGGTTCATCAATATTGTAGCCTGTGTTAGAGCTTCTTTCTATTTTATGGCTGAGTATGGTGGGTTTCCTGGTGGCTCAGTAGTAAAGAATCTGCCTGCAGTGCGGGGGCTGCAGGAGATGCAGGTTCGATCCCTGGGTCAGGAAGATCACCTGCAGGAGGGCATGGCAACCCACTCCAGTATTCTTGCCTGGAGAATCCTATGGACAGAGGAGCCTGGTGAGCTACAGTTCATAGTGTCACAAAGAGTCAGACATGACTGAAGCAACTAAACACACATGCACACATACTCATAGCATGGATGGAGCACATTTTGTTTGTCCATTCTTCATTGATGCACACCTGCATTGTTTCCTTTTTTGGCTGCTATGGTCCTGTATATCTATGTATTTGTTTGAGTCCCTGTTTTCAATACTTTTGGGTGTAAACCTAGGAACCAGACATCTAACTTACAGTGAGGCCTCCCTGATCACATTATACAAGACAGCATCACCACTATTTTCTTCCCTTGCTTCATGACACTCATGACCATACAAAGCAACACATAGTTACTTGTTTCTCCACATACTCTGTGACTTTCCCTGTGCTTGAATGTAAGCGGCCAATGACGGGGGATCATCAGCTTTCGTCACTACTCTACCGCAGGGCTCTGTACTGCAGACCAGTCCCTGACAGAGAATAAACCCCGTGTCAGTCATCTGTGCTCACAATGCTGCTGTGTGACGAACCCTCCCAAAATTCAATGGCTTAACACTCAGCTGGCCCTCTGCTGGAGTTTTGGCTGGGCTCCAAGGAGTGGTCCTTATGGGAGCAGCTAATGAGGAACCCGAAGCAAAAACACAGATAGGAGCTTGTCTGGTGGCTCAGTGGTAAAGAATCCACCTGCCAATGCAGGAGACATGGGTTTGATCCCTGGTCTGGGAAGATCCCATATGCTGAGGAGCAGCTAAGCCCGTGTGCCGCAACTATTGAGCCCGTGCTCTAGAGCCTGGGAGCCACAGCTTCTGAAGCCCACATGTCCTAGACCCTGTGCTCCTGTGCAACAAGAGAAAGTGAAAGTGAAAGTCACTCAGTCTGTCTGACTCTTTGAGACTCCATGGACTGTACAGTCCATGGAATTCTCCAGGCCAGAATACTAGAGTGAGTAGCCTTTCCAGGAGATCTTCCCAACCCAGGGATCGAACTCAGTTCTCCCGCATTGCAGGCAAATTATTTACCAGCTGAGCCATCAGGGAAGCCCAAGAATAGTAGAGTGGGTAGCCTATCCCTTCTCCAGGGGATCTTTCTGACTCAGGAATGGAACTGGGGTCTCCTGCATTGCAGGCGGATTCTTTACCAACTGAGCTATCAGGGAAGCCCGTGCAACAAGAGAAACCACTGCAATGAGAAGCCAGCATACCACAACTAGAGAGTAGCTCTTGCTTGCTGCAACTGGAGAAAAGCCCACATAGCAACAAAGACCCAGAGCAGCCAAGAATAAATAAAACATACATATTTTTAAAAAGAACACAGATAAACAAAGCAAATAAAAATGAAAATTGCTGCCTGGGCCGTGCTAGTCTGGAATTGGACCCCAGAAGGAGATTTCAGGGGATGGCATAGAGTGCCAGGCTGATTAGGGCCCAGCAAGCAGCCCATGTGGCTGGATTGTAAAGTGGTGAGTGAGGAAGGAAAAGAGATGGGCTAAAACATCAAACAGAGGAAGCTGAGAAAGGGAGTGGGGAGTACGATGGAGACAGGACAGGGCACACAAACCACCCCCAGAGACCACCCTTTCTCCTGCCATGCAAATGTGTTTGCAGAGGGGCTCCTGGCAGCCTCTGTTTTCCACGGTCTCAGGACCCTGGCAGCCTACAGCAACATCCACACACACCATAGTCTCATGCAGTCCATAAGCTGGACTCAGGATGTATGGAGGTTCATGCCCAAGGTCTTGCAGAGTTGGTGGGGGGTAGAGTCCCGCTCTGAGCCAGGCTTCCCACTGCATCCAAGCAAGGCAGGCAGGGTGAGAAGGAAGACGATGCAGGCTCAGGGAGCCTGGAGCACACCTCTGTCTGTTCTGTGCTGCATGGCCAGGGACCTTCCAAGCTCTAGGGCCCAATAGTGACCTTGACAATGTCCCGCTGCTGAGAAACTCAGAGGGTGAAGGATCCCGGGTACCTCAAAGCCAAGAAGGAAGTAATTTACCCAGTGACATGTGAAAAAATAATAAAGGTGCTTCAAATATATGTACATACATTTGTATATAGTTATAGGCTTCCCTGGTGACTCAGATGGTAAAAAATCTGCCTGCAGTGGAGGAGACTGGATTTTAATCCCTGGATCGGGAAGATCCCCTGGAGAAGGGAAAGGCTCTGCACTCCAGTATTCTTGCCTGGAGAATCCCATGAACAAAGGAGCCTGCCAGGCTACAGTCCATGGGGTCACAAAGAGTCGGACACAACTGAAGCTACTAGGCGCACACACACACACATAATTATACGTATATATTTATATATTGAGGGGCAGCACTGAATCTACCAGGCTGTCCACACTGGGACCCTCTGGCGATGACCACGAGGCCAGCCCCCTGACAGCTCCCACGTCATGCCTGCAGAGAGCAAGGCCAAGAATCTGGGCTCAGGAAGAAGAATTCTCTGCATCTCGACAAGCAGAGGCTGTGTTAAGCCCTAAAATATGACTCCTCACATGATCCGGTTGTGACCACATCATCCCAGTAGGGCTCACAGCTCACAGAGCAGCCAAGGCCACAGGCAACACCAGGCCTGGTGTCCTAACTGGAGAAACCAGCAGGGTCCAGCACACCTGTCCTGGTGGAGGATGGAGGAGGGGGAAAGGAGCCCCCTGCTATCCCAGGTAAGCAATGCTGTGGCGACTACCAGGGTTGGAGGTGTTCTCTCCCCCCTACCCCACACAGAGCCCTGCTGTGTACTGGGGAGGTAGATGCCCCACTGCTAAGATTGGGGTAGGGCTTTATTAATCAGGTGCCTTAACCACCCCCAGCACCCTATTCTGACCCTGAAAGGTGATCCAGCCTTGCCCTTGTGTTTAACATGGCGTGGGGTGCATCCACACCCCAAGGATAGCGCATACCCAGGGACCATCACCCATCAGACCACCCCCACATTTTCCCTGCCCCCCTCCACCTGTGACCCAGCCCCCATTGGCCTTCTCATCTCCCTGTTGCCCCCTGCCTAAGGCTGCCATCCACTTAGCCCTGTATGGCCCCTAGACAAGAGATCTGGCAGGTCTCCCTGTGGATCTGGGTGATGGGAGGGTGGGCTCTGGCTTGGTGCAGAAGGGGCTGAAGGCCAGTGTCGTCAGCAACTTGTCCTTTTGCTCTTACTGACTTGTCGAGGTCTGGGGGATGCTGATCAATAACCCTTATTTCCTCTGCTCTGATGCGGTCAGACAGGTGGGGAGTAAAGGGCTTGTTTCTTCCTGGGAAACTGGGGACTCTGCCCAGGCCTGGGGTCTTAGCTTCCTCATTCTTCCCACAACCAGACTTCAAGGGCCTGCTGCCCCTTACCCTGCAGAGAGGGGGCAGAAGCCCTTCCACACCTGCCTGCCAGTGAAGGGGTTGGGGAGCAGGCAGAACTGAGGTGGAGACTGTCCATCAAGGGACAAAGTTCCATCGATGAAACTGGCAGCTTCTCCCAACCTCATGATCAGTGATTCAGGCCTCTGTTGGGGAACTGAGAGGAGGGTGGGCCCCCCAACCCTAAGCACCCCGTTATTCTTTTCCTGGGTAAGGCCAGGGCCCACAAACTTGGCTGAGAGTCCTCCTGAAGGGCAAGCTGGGGTCTTTGGGAGGCCCTGCACCCCACAGAGCCCTGGTCTCATGGCTGCACCCTTGTCCCTGGGCTTCTAGGGTCTCTGAGCACCCCCTTCCACCTCTGCTGTCTAGCTTCCTCCCCCTGCAGGCTCTGACCCTGCTCCCAGCTGAGCATCACAGGGTCTGAGTGAAGGGGGTCACACCGGTGAGACCTCCCTGTTCCTCCTTCCTCTGCAGGAGGCTGGAGGTCAGGAGATACCCCTCACCAGGAGCAGCCCCCTCACTTCCAGTCGCCCAGGACCAGCTCCCTGGGAGGACCCAGCCTGGAGGGCAGGCCTTGGGGGGTTCCTGGCCTGCTTGCTCCCTTCAGAAAGCAGCTGCCTCAAGTGCCTACTCTTCCTGTCCAACTTCCTCTTCTCCCTGCTCAGCCTGCTGGCCCTGGCCATCGGGCTCTGGGGCCTGGCTGTCAAGGGGTCTCTGGGAAGTAGTTGGGGGTCCCCCCTGCCTGCAGACCCCATGCTGGGGCTGGTGCTGGGTGGGCTGGCGGTCAGCGCAGTGAGCCTGGCGGGCTGCCTGGGTGCCCTCTGCGAGAACGCCTTTCTGCTGCGCTGCTTCTCCGGGGGTGTCCTTGCCTTCCTGGTGCTGGAGGCCGTGGTGGGGGCCCTGGTGGTGGCCCTCTGGGGCCGGTTACAGGATGGCCTGGAGCACGTCCTGCGCCTGGCCATCACCCACTACCAAGACGACCCAGACCTGTGCTTCCTCATCGACCAAGTCCAGCTGGGGCTGCAGTGCTGCGGGGCGGCCTCCTACCAGGACTGGCAGCGGAACCTGTGAGTCCTGGAGCCCACGAGGAACGAGGGTAGCCCCACGGTGACTGGCAGGGTCCCTGGGGCTGGAGAGGAGGTGGGCCACACTCACATGCCCATACTCACTTGTACACACACTCACCTGTACAGGCTCCTCACCTATACATACTCATGTGTGCACACGCTCACACGGGCACATTTGCACATGTACATGCTTAGGCCCAGCCAGGGCCACATGGTCACGCAGGGATGTTAATGGAGAAACTCAGCTAGCAGATGTAGAAAATCATTTTTGGAGATTGTTGTTTTGTTGTTTTTTTTCCCCCAGTAAGGACATCATACAATATATCTCAGTGTCCATTGAAAATAACTTTTAGGCTAATCTAGCTTCCCTTGGAGAAGGAAATGGCAACCCACGCCAGTATTCTTGCCTGGAGAATCCCGTGGATAGAGGAGCCTGGCAGGCTACAGTCCACGGGGTTGCAAGAGTCTAACATGATTTAGTGACTAAACCACCACCAGCTTCCCTTGTGGCTCAACTGGTAAAGAATCTGCCTGCAATGCAGGAGACCTGGGTTCAATCCCTGGGCTGGGAAGATCCCCTGAAGAAGAGAAAGGCTATCCACTTCAGTACTCTGGCCTGGAGAATTCCAGGGACTGTGTAGTCCATGGGGTCCTAAAGAGTTGGAACACTACTGAGTGATTTTCACTTTCACTTTAGGTTAATCCAGGACATCCCTCTAGACTATGACTCCACAGTTCTCCCTCTGCTATGTGTGTATGTATGTGTACATGTGCGTGTGTTTAGAGTCACATGGAGACTCTTGAAAACCAGCCACTTGTACCCATGAGTCCCTGAGACGTGCTGAGCCCTTCCTTCTGAGTACCAGGCACCCTAGAAGCACTCACAAGGCTTGTTCTCATTGGGTGGCCATGTGTGACTTTGGGTTGGTGGCAGCCCTTTCTGATATTGTTATGTTCACCCAGTCTACCGGTCTCCAAGCCCCAGCCTTAGTGAAGCCCACTCTTCGAGGAGATGAGACTGCCTATATGGGGCGGGGGGTGGTGAGGGATGAACCTGCAGCTCACAGGGCCCTGGATGCTTTGACTAGATGCCTAGTCAAAGCCAGGGGCACCTGAGGGCTGCCTGAAGCAGGTGATAAGAGCAACACTCCCTCCAGGCCCTGTGAGCTCCTCCCAAGCCTCCTGTCCCTTGTCGCTGTCCGGTGTGACCCCTCACGTCCCCACCACAACCCACTGACCCCTACAGAAACCTCTGCCAGTCCTCAACCCCCCTTCTTCGGCTCCAACCCTGATGCTCAGACCAACTCAGCAGTGTCTGTGGAGCAAGGGCGTCTTCCTTCCAGCCCCCATCAAATGCTGGCCTCCCTACAACTGTCTTGTGCAGTGTGTGCCTTCTAGCCAAGAAACATGTGCAGAGGCCTACCTGGTACGGGATGAATTATAGAGAACTGGGTATTGTATGTGTGTGTGTTTGCGCACAAGTGTGCATGTGTGTGCCTCTATACATGCATGCCAGTGTGGATTCATACTGTATGTATATGTGTGTGCATTCATGCCTCTGTGCTTGCACACATGCTTGCATGCATGCACATGTGCATGCCTGCGTGCCTATGCACGTGTGTGGCCATGGAAGTTTGGAGGTGGGTAGGAGACATTCTGGGAAGCTCAGTGGTAAAGAATCTGCCTGCCAATGCAGGAGACACGAGTTCAGTACCTGGGTAGGGAAGATCCCCTGGAGAAGAAAATGGCTACCCACTCTAGTATCCTTGCCTGGAGAATCCCATGGATAGAGGAGCCTGGCAGGCTACAGTCCATGGGATTGCAAAAGAGCTGAACACGACTTTAGCATCCCTGAACACGACTTTAGCATCCCTGAACACGACTTTAGCAACTAAGCAACCACAAACAAAGAGACAGTTCACACTGGGGGCCCAGACCAGGGGACCTGCCCTCCAGACTGACACTGTGCACCCTTGCAGGTACTTTAACTGCAGCTCTCCTGGGGTCCAGGCCTGCAGCCTTCCTGCCTCCTGCTGCATCGACCCCTGGGAAGGCGGAGCATCTGTCAATGACCAGTGCGGCTTCGGGGCCCTGGGCCTGGACGAGGACGCGGCCCAGAGGGTGGTGCATCTGGAGGGCTGCGGCCCTCCACTCCTCCGGTGGCTGCACGGTAACATCCGGACTTTAGGCTGCTACGCCATCGGGGTCGTGCTGGTCCAGGGGGTGGAGCTCCTGCTGGCCATCCAGCTGGTGAGGGCCCTGACTGTCCACAAGGGGGCAGCAGAGAGTGGGGGCCTGTCCATAGGAACCCCAGACCCAGTGTCCCGTGCTCTGCCAAACTGGTCGTGGGCTGACCAACAGCGGGGATGAAAGACCCCGCTGGGGTATGGGGCTGCAGGCCGCCCCTCCCCTCCCAGGGCAGATGTCAGAGTAACCTGCCTGGGTGCTTAGGGAAACACGCCTTGGACCCCCAGGCCACCTCCGCCTACTGACTTCCAGCTTCCCAGGGTTCCCTTTCCCTCACACTGCCCACTTGCTTGCAAACACTGCTGTTCCAAGTGTAAGCTGACCTTGACGACCGCCTGGCCAGCATCTGCCTCCCACGGAGGGTGCCAGGCAAAGCCACCTGGCCGGCAGGAGGAGCGGGGGGCGAGAACTGGATGAAATCCTGCTTGCCAAGCCTCCAGCTCTGAATTTCACCTTGACCCTCACCTCTGACCTCCACTTTCAACCACCTCCAAGTCCCACCTCCAAGCCCAGCCTACGAAGCTCCATGTCTTCACCATAGCCTGGCACCTGCCCTCCTCTGGGGCCACCTCCCCCTTTCCTGTCCATTGTGGTGGTTAAGGATGAGGCCCAGGCCTCTCTCTCCAGAGTCCTTCTTTTTTTGGCAGAGTATAAGTTTTATTGCGATGTATCACTCATACAGTAAACTGAACCAACCTTAAGTGGGTAGCATGAGGCTTCTTATTTACCTACACACCTGTGGACCCACTACCACTACCAAGTCTAGCTCCAGCCCCAGCAGGGTTCTTTGTCCCCTCCCCGAGGTCACCCCTGGTGGAGCTTTGTTACCTTCAGTTCACGTGGCTTTTTCTGGCCTTCACATAGATGGGATCATGGGGCCCCCTTCTCAAGAGTCACTCTCCAGTTACTGCTGTGTGAACAGAGCCCCACGTCCGTGTGGACATGCACTTGGGCAGTGTCCAGAAGATGACTGCTAGTAGGGACAGTTTTGTGCAGGTCTGTGTGTATGTATGACAGCGTGCCCCGCTGTGGGGTCAGGAGTGGAATTGCAGAGCTGCTGGTGGGCATCTGTCCGGCTTTAGTGGACACTAAGGGGGTCAGGGGGGCCCAGTTTCCCTGCACCTGTATCCTCACCTGTGGGGAGTAAACAGGCTTTCTCGCCCCCTGACCCGAGCTCCTGTCCCTGCAGTATGTGAGGCTGCCCATCTTGCCCCGATCTGGCCTTCAGGAGCCTTCCCAGCACCTGATGTGTTTCCTCCCTTCAGCCTGGCCGAGGCCCCGCCATCCCTGCCACTTGCGCCTGCGCCATCCACTCCTACTGATCAGACCCTATCCTCAGGCCCTGTCCCCACTGACAATACACCCCAGACAAGAGGTGGGAAGCACGGTAACTTTATTTGAAACAGGACAGCAAGCATGGGCCATGTTGGAAAGGAGAAGCTTCCTACTGGTGTGACTGATCCAGAGAGTTCTCATTCTCTGACGCCTGCAGGACTCCGCCATCCACCTGCCGGCCCAACGGCCTCAACTGGGAAAGGCTAGTGAGGGGAGCCCGTCCTCACCCCCAGACGGGCAGGGGTGGTGGTGGGAGGTGGCAGGAGGTGGGATGTGGCAGACACCACTGGGAGGCCTGTCTTAGCTTTCCAGCCTGGGGAGGAGAGGACCAGTGTTTCCGGAAGTTAAGCAGGGCCCGGCTGCCCCGAGAGGGTGTCCTGAAGGGAGGTGGTGGGCTCCTGGTAACTAGCGTCCAGGAGGCTCGAGGCTGCCGCCCTGTGAGGGTCTCCAGACACAATCCAGACACTCAGGACCTCCCAGGGGGCCAGCCCTCCTCAAAGGAATCTTAAGCAGGGGGTCAGAGCGGGCAGCAGAGTGGAGGGGCTGAGGGTGGGGGTCCAGGGCTAGATGATGCCGTACTGGGCCAGCTCGTGCAGCTCCAGGTGGTTGAAGGCCTCCCATGGGCAGATGACGGTGATGTCTGCAGGACAAGGGGGCAGTAGGTTGAGGGTCCCAAGGCCCCCAGTGCCGCCATGCCCTCCGGGCCCTGTTGTCCACACCCCAGTGATGAGAGTACAAGGTCCTTTGGGCATAGAGCCCTCCCCTCAGGACACACCACCTTTGGGGGGTATTGAATGGGTGCCCTGCCCAGGAAGAGAGTGGGTGCAGCAGGCCTGGAGGAGGGGCGGAGCAAGGTGGGCCTTGCTGCTGGTGAGGGGGGTGGGGGACTGGGACAGCAAGAGCTTTGTTCCTTCCAGCCCCCCCAAGCACCCACTGAGTAGGAAGGACCCTACTCGGGTGGTGTCTGAAGCTTGCAGTCAAGAAAGGGAATGAAGCACAGCTAGGGGGAAGTGCCCTCTGCCTGGGGTGGGGGGCTGGGCCCTGGGCACTCTGGGGGGGTGGGTGAGTGGGGGGACCTAGCTGGACACTTGTGGTTGTCATACCTGTTCCCAGACCTTCCATTCCAGGGATGTCATCACCAAACCTGCAAGGACAGAGCAGTCAGGGCCGGTGACCAGGAAGAGAGGAGGGGGGGGCGTGCGTGCACTTGAGTGCAGGTTCCTGGGAACGTGGTGTGTCTGAGTGTGTCCTGGGTGTGTACAGATAGGGCTGCGTGTGTGGAGATGCACATCAGTTAGTGGGGTGCTGGTTGAGTGTCTGGGTGGTGGTGTGGGTGGGTGTTCTTTCCAGACCTTTCAGCAATAGCAGCTAAAAACGGTGACAGGGACCCCCCCCCCCGTTCCCAGGGAATGGGGACCCTGAGACAGGCCAGCTCAGGCCCCCGAGAACCGCCCCACCCACTTAGGAGGATGGGATCACCTCCCATGAGAAAAGGGTGGCTGAGGCCCCACCAGCCCCCCACCCGCAGTGCAGCACCCCTCCCTCCTGGACAGCTGGTGGGCCCTCCACCCCCCTCTCAGAGCCACCCCTCCCACAGCTCTGCTTACCCTTGGACACCTTTCTTGGGGGGCTTGCTCTTGAACTGCCTGGTTTGCCGCTGCTTAAATTTCGGGGGCCCTTTCCTGGGAGTGACGGGTCCCCCCATCACCCTGGTGGCCGAGCGGATCTCGGCCTTGGGTGGCTCCAGGTTCATGGCCAGGTTGGCAGAGATCCTGCAGTGACCTTCAGCTTATGGACTCCCTCACGTTCTGGGCCCTCCTGCTTCCAACCTTCCTCGCAGGTCTCAACTCCCTGGAGCAGAGGAAACCCTGCAATATGAGACCCACCAGTCCCCAGTAGGACTTGGATGGCAGTCCCCTGACCCGGGGAGCCTCTGCCAACTGCACCTGGGGCCCAAATGAGGACCAGGAAGGGGGTGAGAGTGCTGGGTGGTCCCCAGGTGCACCCTCCTTATGGCTTCCCCCTTCTGCATTCCCCATCCCAATCTCTGGAGTGGAACACTCAGCCTCATTTATGGTAGCATGTTGGGTACCCAACGGTGCCTAAAAGTAGCCTGAGAAATGGGAGGGCAGGGGAGGGGCCTGTGTCACAATGAAACCCCCAACTGGGCTGTGTAGCCTTGGCTCCAGCTGTGTCTTCCCTCTGCTGGTAAACACAACCCCTCCACCCGCCACCACTCACTAGGCACCAGCATCACCTGCTGGTGTCCTTGAACCCACTGCACGGGGTGGCCTCCCTTCCTTCTCTCCCCCAGAGCCTCCCCCTGGATGCCCTAAGCCCTGGTGACCTTGGCCAGGGGAAGATCACCTTTCTTTAAGCCTATTAGCACCAGAGGGAGACTCTAATCTCTCAGGAAACACTGTGAGCCCAGAAGATTCTGGGGCTAAGTACATGACACAGCCAGAAGCCGCTACCCTGGCACTGGATGCCCTAGGTACCACCTCTTGGGGCCCCTTTTCTTGTCCCCCATTTGTGGGCTGCAATGCCTGACTTCTGTCTGGGGCCACCACCCACTGCCTGCTAGAGTTTAAGGGCTGAGACCAGCTGGGAGGTAAGGACAGGTGGTTCTATCAAGACCAGTGAGGAAGGCCTGGCCATGAGTACCAGGGCACCTAGTTGGATAGGCCCCGCTGTGGACCTGCCCTCCCTGAGTTTTGGCCTCTGTGCTGGGACCAGCATCAGCCTGAGAGGAACTGGGGATCAGGGGCCGGATCTACACTGGGTCCAAGGTGGACAGCAGCAGGTCTGGTGGCCCTGGCGGCTCAAACCCCATGACACCCACTCCTCACGGCTCAGGCACTGTAGGCCCAGCCAGTCCCTTCCCCAGTCCCAGGCCATGGGCCTGGTGTGGGCAGTTCTGAGACCTGATGGAGCTCCAACTATCAGATGCTATCTCCGTGGAAACCGCTGCCCAAGCTGCCCTGGCCCCAGCCTGGCCTGTGGCTTGTGCCCATTTAGGTTGGCTGAATGTGTGTAGCCCGAGGCTCCAAGACCATTGCTAGTCTGGGGGACAGCCTGCACCACCATCTGACACGGGGAGCAGAGGACGTGATAGGCTGGGCATCCTCTCTGAAAAGGGCAGTGGGTGGCCTCCCATAGACCCAGACCTCAGGACGGTAGTGAAAAGCCCATCAGCTCCCCATCCTCTGAGCAGATACCCACTAACACCCTTGGGTAAGTGGCCACCAGGAAAGGCAACCTGGGAAGGTCTCTACTCACCAAGTTCTGGGGCAGGTCTCAGGGGACCATAGGTGTAAGTGGCAGGCCTCCCTCAGCAGGGTGCCAGCTGGGCATTTATCCTGCAGCTGGGTAAGCTGATTATGACTGTGCTTGACACCACACTAATGAGATTGTGGGGTTGGGTAGCACTACCGAGGATTCCCCAAGATGGGGGAAGGGGCTTAGGTGCGATCAAGGGAAGGACAAGCTGGGGACAGGGTCAGGGCAGGCAAGGGATACATGATCATGAACAACCAGCCTCTCCTGAAGCTGCTTGTTTTAAAAAAATATTTGTTTGCTGTGCTGGGTCTTAGCTGTGGCATGTGAGATCTGTAGCTGCAGCATGGGAACTTTTAGCTGTGGCATGTCGGATCTAGTTCCCAGATCAGGGGTTGAACCCAGGGACCCTGCATTAGAAGTATGCAGTCTTAACCCCTGGACCATCAGGGAAGTCCCTGAAGCTGCTCATTTTGAAGCAAAGATGACATTGCATTGGCTGTCATCTCAGACCTCTCTCTGCTTTCAGTCCTGACTGCTGAGGAACCCCTTTTTGCCCCCCAAAGCCATGTAGCCTGGTCCTGATCCACTTCTTTGGCCTCACCTCTCATCCCTTCCTTTTGCTCTGTGCTCCAAGGAACTTCTTCCACCCCTAGAGCCTTTGTACGTGCTGTTCCCACCATGTGGTGCGTTTTCTACATCTCTCCCCTTCCCCTAGCTTCTTCCTCCTGGGACTTCACAAAGACCAACTCCAGGTTCATATACACATAGAAAATCTTTCATTTTTTCCCACAAATGTTTTATTGGGAAAAAAAAGGAAACTTCTTCCTCCATCTCTGAGATTAACTACCTCCATGTTCTAGACCCCTTCAGGGGCCTCAGGCCCACTAAGGTCTGCTGTGCTTTTGTCTCCAGGGAAATCTCTTCCTGGGCCATTTTCAAATCTGTAGGACATGACTGAAGTAGATGCTCTCTGACATAAAGTGTAACAAACATGTATTGCTACTATCATTTTTCTCTGAAAAAACCAGAACTGATTCTGGATGACATGATTAGCTGGCCAAGATAGCTGGCACTACTTTGTGGCATGTGAGATCTGTAGCTGCAGCATGGGAACTTTTAGCTGTGGCATGTCGGATCTAGTTCCCAGATCAGGGGTTGAACCCAGGGACCCTGCATTAGAAGTATGCAGTCTTAACCCCTGGACCATCAGGGAAGTCCCTGAAGCTGCTCATTTTGAAGCAAAGATGACATTGCATTGGCTGTCATCTCAGACCTCTCTCTGCTTTCAGTCCTGACTGCTGAGGAACCCCTTTTTGCCCCCCAAAGCCATGTAGCCTGGTCCTGATCCACTTCTTTGGCCTCACCTCTCATCCCTTCCTTTTGCTCTGTGCTCCAAGGAACTTCTTCCACCCCTAGAGCCTTTGTACGTGCTGTTCCCACCATGTGGTGCGTTTTCTACATCTCTCCCCTTCCCCTAGCTTCTTCCTCCTGGGACTTCACAAAGACCAACTCCAGGTTCATATACACATAGAAAATCTTTCATTTTTTCCCACAAATGTTTTATTGAGAAAAAAAAAGTAAACTTCTTCCTCCATCTCTGAGATTAACTACCTCCATGTTGTAGACCCCTTCAGGGGCCTCAGGCCCACTGAGGTCTGCTGTGCTTTTGTCTCCAGGGAAATCTCTTCCTGGGCCATTTTCAAATCTGTAGGACATGACTGAAGTAGATGCTCTCTGACATAAAGTGTAACAAACATGTATTGCTACTATCATTTTTCTCTGAAAAAACCAGAACTGATTCTGGATGACATGATTAGCTGGCCAAGATAGCTGGCACTACTTGGTGTATCCTCAGGCATTAGTACGGCAGCATGTCTTATGGCTGTGTGGTTTCATTCTTTGGTCCACAGATCTGCCTTCACGGGAAATGCTGGCTTTACATTGAAGGCCTCTACCTGGGAAGGCCTGTTTTATCAGCTCAACTCCTTAGTGAAGTTGGATCACAACCCTAGCTTTTCTCTTAAATGAGGAGATAAAACAGGCAGAAATTCGTTTAACCCTGTCCATCCAGGACACTGGTATCAGAGCTTGGAAGTCTGCAGTTGGATGGATGGGATGCTTCCCAGGTCATCTGTGGGTATTTGTGCCTACCAGAGCTTTGCTAATGGCCACCTCAGGGGCCAGATGGCCCTCCTTCTGCCGTACCACTGAGATTAACCAGAACTGACCTGTGGGTCAAACTTCTGGGACGCTGGGATATGGAAGGGGGCGCTGGGATATGGAAGGGGGCGCCTGGGCTCATTGCCACTTAAATAGTCAAGGAAACAGGTTTACTTTCACCTTCACGGGTTGGTGAAGGCTCTAGGTGCCCTGTGGACATATGATGACATATGACATAAGCCTACAGATGATGACACAAAAGCCTGCCGTCTAACCACCACAGAGGATGTATTTATTCTCAGGCAAAGTCAATAAACAACTCTTCCTACTCCTGCCAGCACCAGCCACATGAAGGGGCCATGGATAAAGGTGGCTGTGCAGGATTCTGAGGAGGAGTGTGTCGGGGTGAGGGTGTCTGGCCAGGTGGTTCAGCCTCCACTCCTAATGCGGAGCTGGATCTCCATCCGGAGGAAGGCCTTGAGGTTCTCATCAGTTACGTGCTCCTCCAGGTTGGCCAGGGCCCGCTCCCCGCCATCCTGGTAGTGCTGCAGCAGTGCATCTGCATACTCTACCCACACGCAGTTGGGGCAGCCGCTCATGCAGCAGTTGGTGGGTGGCTGGAGCTCAGGTGGTGGCGGGTACAGAGGTCTTGAGGGGCCCCCACCCGGCAGGGAGGACTTGGGCTGGCCGGTGCCCGCTGCACCTCCTTGGGACCCCACTTCCACATGGTTCTTCCCAAACTCTCTGTGGGCTCCACGGACTTGGATCCTGCGAAGAAGGCTGCTGCCTCCAGGAAGCTTTTGGCACCAGTCCCAGCTGGACAGTGGCCCCTAAGGATGCAGATAAGCACATGAGTCTCTAGGAAGCTGGTAAGGCCCTGCCTGCCTTCTGCTCTGGGCAAACTTTGGCTTCCTGTCACTGGCAGGGGACTCCATGACTTTCTCAGCTTCCTTAATTCCTGCATGACCTTAGACAAATTACTTCGTCTTCAGACTCAGTTTCCCATTTGTAAGAGGGACCTGACGCTTGGGATGAGGATGACCCATAAATTCGTGAGAGAGGCTGGGTTCAAGGCCTGGCAGTAGGCAGGCACTGGGCAGATGCTGAGTGGTGAGACTGTATCTCCAGCTAAGATGCCTTTGCCTGGTGGTCCGGACTGTGGCGGAGGTGGAGGCGGAGGCTTGTGAGATCCAGCCCAAACAGCCGCCTCTCCTCTCCAACCAGTACTGCCACATTTCCCTCCCGTGACCATCCTGACTAATCGCATCAGCCCTTCATCCCTCTTCCTTCTGTCACAGGAGTAGCCCAAGTCATTCCCAAGGTCCAGGGGACAGTCTTCTCCCCACCTGGAACCCCCACCCTGGCCCCTTGCTCTGTCTCCAGGGCACTGGACACGGGTCCACATTTTATTTCTCTAACTTCTCCAGCGAGGAGCATCAGCTGCTATTCACTGAGGTTTCCCCAAAGGCCTTGCACACAGCAGCTGTTCAACAGATACTAGACAGGGAGTGGGGAACGAGCGCAGACCCTGCCGGCACTACCCCAAGCTCTGATCAGCGGCGGGAAGAGCGGGGCTCCTCGTCCCCTATGGGGCCCAGCCTCCCGAACACATCCCGTCCCCGTCCCCGCTTGTACTTGCCCCGCCGAGGGTAGCGGCAGCCACCGCGCGGCCTCCCCCAGCTACCCGCCTCAGCAGCATTGCCCGCGGCCTGGCTCACTGCGCACGCGCTGCAGGCGGCCGTGAAAGGCGGCCGCTCTGGCCAATCCCGACCCGTCAAGGAACTGTATATAGTCAGAGAGTTGATGGGCGCAGAAAGCGGAAGTGGCGGGAGTAGGGCGGGACCGCGCGGGAGTGCGGAAGTGACTTCTCCTGTGAACCCCGTGCTTGCAGATGGCTGGGCTCCGGAGCGGAGTGGCGGCGGCGGTGTCGGCGGGAACGGCTGGGTTTGGGAGACCAGGGCGACCGCAGGGCCGGAGGCAGCAAGAGTTGGGGAAGCAGCGCTCGGCGCTATGGCCGGGACCGCGCAGGTGGGTGCGGATGGGACCGCGCAGGTGGGTGCGGATCTCACCGCCCTGAAGACACCTCGGCGCCCCTCCTCATGCCGGGCACAACTCGCTGCCGGGTTCGGGCGGTGGGCGTCCGGGAGGGTCAGCTGGGTGGGCAGAGGCGTGACGGAGTCTCCGGTGTGGCACATGTCACCTTCTGGGCGCCGTCTTGTCATCCTGGACGAAGTCAGGTCCTTCAACTCAGGGTACTGTGGGAGACCGGTCCAGGGACTGTCTCCGGGCGGGCTAGGACGAGGTCGTGCTTTCTTGACCGGCACGCACGACAGCGGCCAGGTTAGCCTGCGAAGTTTCTTTCTCTAGGCTGAGCTTCGGCTTCTCTGATTGTGTTTATGCTCCACTTGAGACCTGTCTCACCCCCGTGTTCTCCTTCACAGCAAAGAAAAGAAGAAAGTGAATTGCAAGCCCACGAACCAGGATGAACAGGAAATTCCTTTCAGGCTGCGAGAGATTATGAGGAGCCGGCAAGAGATGAAAAATCCTATCAGTAACAAGAAGAGGAAGAAAGAGGGTAACTGCAGGCTTATACTGGGTGGCCATAAAGCCTTGTGTGTTTGAATCCACTTAATTGCACAAGTATTTAGTGGCGTTTCAGGCAGAAGAAATCTGCCAGACCCCGGCAGTTCAGACGGTGCAGGAGCGTGTGGAAGGCTGACTGAAGGCTGGTGTCACCAGGGCCAGAGTGGCGGGTGGCAGCAGGTGACAAGGTGGTTTCAGGTGAGGCTCCAAAAGGAGCCCCTGGGGCCTCATGGGCTAAGATGGAAGTGTTGATTTCACCATCGCCCCCCAAGAGTAGTGGAGATACATCAGAGGGGACAGTCAGTTCAGATTTACTTGAAGAAAAAGGTCGCTAGATGATGGTTCCTTGGACCAGAGTGCAGAAGTATGGTGGAGAGAAGTGGATGGTTTCCAGAGGTTATGGAGGGAGTTGATCAGATCCCCTGGGAAGCTTATTTCCCCACCACCACCACCCCCACCCCTTTCCCCAAGGCCAGGTAGGGTGCCCACCTGTCAGTCTCTCCCTGGATGCTGGGGGAATTGGGTCCAGAGTGTTTGTGTTTCATGTACACGTATAGGTGTATGTGTTCCTAAACATGACACTGATTTTGCAGCAATGCTATTTTGTCATTTCTTTGTAAACCTTAGTCTTTTTATTGGGGGTTAGATGGCTGCCAAATCAATAGTGAAGTAAAGAATTGAGGAAGCAGAGGGGTAGAGGAGGTCACTGACCCAGATGGATGATGGCACATTCTGAACCATGCCCTGTAGAGTCAGCACTTTTGGGAGTTTAAATTATTTTAAAAAATATAAACTTATGTACTTGGTGAAATCAGTTCTGAAAGGTATGAGATGAGGCGTCTTTGAATCCTGTTCCCTGCCCCTAAAAGAAACCACTGTTCATCTTCTTTTTTTACCTTCCCAGGGGAAATGTTATGCCTATTTTAGTTATTCACATGTTATTGTTAGTCTTATGCATATTTCACTTTTCACATGTTAGTAAAAGCTATACTTTCATTCTGTATATTGTTTTGTGTCCTGGGTTTTCCCTTCCAGTGGATTTTGTAGATCTTTCCACGCCCTTCCCCATAACTCCACGAAGCTCTCCTCAACATTTGTGCAGTGACACCTCTGGATGAACATAAGGGGATTCATTCAGCCAGTCACCTAGTGATGGACACTTAAGGTCACGTCACTTTTTTCAGCTGAGCTGCAGAGGACATCTTTGGTGTGTGCCAGTGAACTGTGGGGATGCCACCCCAGGGTGCCCCCAGCTGGCATCTTAGAGATTGTTTAGTTCCCATGTGAGTCTGCTCTTCCCTTTCTGTGGCCAGGGGAGGGGAGATGAACATGGGTGACCAGCCCAGCACCACCCAGTCCCCGCCATCTTCATCACTGTCCTCTCTGAGGTCTCCCTTTTGTCCTCAGCCCAGGCAGCCTTCAGCAAGACATTGGAGAAGGAAGCAAAGGGAGGGGAACCGGACATTGCCGTACCCAAATTCAAGCAGAGGAAGTGGGAGTCCGACAGGGCCTATGTCCGGCGCATGGAACAGGAGGCCCAGCACGTGCTGTTCCTCAGCAAGAACCAGGCCAACCGGCAGCCCGAGGTGCAGGTGGCTCCCAAGAAGGAGAAGTCGGAGCGAAAGAAAGCGTGAGTGGGGGCTGGAGGGGCTGGGAGGTAAGGCTGTGGGGTTCCTCGAATGTCTTCTGTATTGACAGCATCTTGTTGCCGAGGGGCACCCTCCCCACCCCGTGAGTCAGAGCAAGCAGGACCTGGTGTCTGTGGGTGTTTTTCTCTGCACCTCAGCCTCTTTTTTGTTGTTGTTGTTGTTGTTTCTTTCTTTTTCTTTGCACCTCAGCCTCTTGACCTGGGAGGCTCTGAACCCATAGAACTCTGAAGGCCTGGCTTTGTCTGTACCTCTCTGTGGAAAGCATCAAGGGATCCAGGAGCCAAGCGAGGGTTAGCTGTCCCCTCCAGGCCAGTCGTTGTAGGGAAGTAGACAAAAGGTGAGGCTCCTTCCCAGGAGTGCTTGCAAACCACCAGGGGAACTGTGCCTGCCCCACAGAAGTCAGTTTCCAGGATTGACCTTTCCAGTCCCCAGAAAATTTGAGAGCCTGAGGCTGTGTCATTTGGACAAGTTCTGTGACCTCTCAGACTCAGCTTCCTGGTGGAGATACAGCACCAGGAGGAAGCCCACCACCAGCTGCCCATCCCTACTCAGCCCTGGAGAAGTCTACGACACAAACTATGTGCTACCTTCTTGAGCCTCTGGGTAGGGGCTGGGGCAGAGGTTCCAGCAAACAAATGCTTTTTGAGATGTGTTTATGCCTCTACTGAAACTTTTGTCATGAACCAAGCCAGGCTTTCATCAGAAATTTCTCTGAAAGCAGGGACTTCCTGGGCAGCCCAGTGCTGCCACTGCAAGGGGCATGAGTTCCATCACTGCTTGGGGGACCTGAGATCCTGCATGCCATGTTGCGTGGCCTTAATTTAAAAAGAAAGAAAAAAAGAAATTTCCCTAAAGCTATAAAAGTTTGATTGTTTTCAGCTTTGTGGAGTTTTTCCACGTCCACTTATAGTACATGTACTCATATTAGCCAATGAAAATTATATCACACAAAACCTATCCCAGGTACCAGCAAAAACCACAGTGATCTCCAGCACTCCCTGGACGCTGATTCCAGTAACAGTAAGGAGACATGTCACACGTGCTACTGTGCAGGGCGCTTGAGACACAGCAGCACGGTTGACACTTGGGGCAGGTGATTCTCTGGTTGGGGGGGCGGGGGCACTGTTCGTGCCCTGTAGGACAGTGAGCAGCATGCCTGGCCTCCACCCTTGAGGTGCCAGGAGTACCCCCCCACACACACATTGTAATAGCCCAGAACATCTCTAGACATTGTCACATGGCTCCAGGGGTACTGATGCTGAGGACCCTTGACTTAGAACTTTGGGAGGGTCTGCTGGGTTCAGGAGTGCTCTCTATGGGTCGTGGGGTTTGGAGGAAGCCCCCTGGGGTCTGCCATAGAGCATCCCTCATGGGCAGGGGTGACCTCTCCCTCTTCCTGAGTCCAGTGAACCGAGGGTTTATGAGTAAGAGCAGCACTGTGCTCTCTTCCCAGGTTCCAGAAGCGGCGACTGGACAAGGCCCGGCAGAGGAGGGAGGAGAAGGCAGCAGAGAGGCTAGAGCAGGAGCTGCTCCAAGGTAGCTTTTCCGGAAGCAGTTGTGTCTGCAGCGGGCTCCTGTTTTTTCTCCCTAGAGACTGCTCTTTCAGGAGTGACCATCCGCTGGACCCATATCTCGCACAGAGCGTCATCTGTCTCCTGAGCCCCTGTAGATGGAGCCACCACCTGGGTGAGATGCAGTCAGCGTCATTTCCTTGAGCCTAGCGTCACATGCAGCTTTGTTCTGAGCACACAGGTCCAGGCTGAGACACAACCCAGGGCCACTTTAGGGAGGGCCAATCCCATAATCCTGTCCCTAAATGCCAGTGAATTGTAGACACCACTGACTCGATAAGTGAGGCTCTACCGGATTCGACAGAGCCACACGGCTGGAGCCAAAGCCAGACAGCAGGCTGGTGTGGAGCAGGGGTGGGGGGGTCAGCATCTAGGCCACCTAGACCACTGTTACCACGGTCCCCGCAGGATAGGTGGAGCCACTCCAGCTTATGTTGGGGTGTGAAGACTGAGCCACCCACACTGAGGTTGGGGAGGCTGAGTCCTTATGTCTTCAAGGCCTCTGGGGAGGACATGGCGGGGCTCTCCAGCAGGTCCAGAGTAGGTAGACAGCAAGGACAGGAGCCCAGCCCAGGGCTCTCTTGCGATCAGAGGGGCCATGTAAGTTCCTGCTAAGGGCAGGATCTGGCAGGGTTTGAACCTCCCACGGGCGCCAAAGGAGGGAGTACCTGGGTTTATCCTCCTGCTCAGGTGTGGGATATAAGTGAGAGCATGGGGATGTGGCTTACAGGCTGCTAGCAGTCGAACATGGAGGGACAGGGTCAGGCTGCTCATAGCCCTGTTGGAGGTTGACAGCCACTGGGCTGCCTTGCTCTCTATAGCTCAGGCTCCTCTAGCCAGCAGAGATGGCCTGGGCAACTCAGTCAGTGCTAGGCCTCAGCACTGGCCGGGGCAGCCCTAGAGAATGAGTGTGGAATGGTATGGGATCTGTTCTGCTCTTCCCCAAGTTTGTATTTTATGCAGTGAAGTTTATTTTTGAATTAAAAGATTGACGTTCTGGAAGCTGTACCTGGAATCAGGGCTGTCACTCTCTGGGGTGTGTTTCTGCGTGGTGGGTGGCCTCAGCCCTTGCACGGCAGGGCTGTGAGAGCGAGGGGTGAGGTGGGGCTGCTGAGAAACACCGGTGTTTCCTGGACTCACTGCAAGTACGGTATGAACGTGGGAAGGAGGAAACAGGTCGTGGTGAAGGACGTTTGCCCTTGGTCACAAGAAATGTGGAAATTATATTTCCTTAGACCCTTATCAGAGTGCCTCTAAAACTGGTCAAGTTGGCTTAGCTGGCTTTACCATCTGAGATATCACCAGGCCCAACCTAACCCAACAGCAGTGGTGACCAGGCTGGGTTCATCCCTCAGATAGGCCCCCAAGCTGGGCATCACCCCTCAGGAACAGAGCCCAGATTCGGGTCACCTCTAGAGACAGAACCCAGGTAGGATCAGCCATCAGGACATCCAGCCTGGGTTAAGGGTGTTGACTCTGAGCATGAAATAAGATCTTTGGCCAAAATGAGTTTATTGGAATCAGAATTTCAATTCAGAACAAGCAAATTGTGTGGCAAGTTGGAGGAGACAAAGGGAAGGTCGGCTTTTACTCGGTTTTAGGAGGAATTAATGCTTTTGAACTGTGGTGTTGGAGAAGCCTCTTGAGAGTCCCTTGAACTTCAAGGAGATCAAACCACTCAATCCTAAAGGAAATCAATCCTGAATATTCATTAGAAGAACTGATGCTGAAGCTGAAGCTCCAATACTTTGGCCACCTTATGAGAAGAACTGACTTATTTAGAAAAGACCCTGATTCTGGGGAAGATTGAAGGCAGGAAGAGAAGGGGACGACAGAGGGTGAGATGGTTGGATGGCCTCACCAACTCGATGGACATGACTTTGAGGAAGCTCCTGAAGTTGGTGATGGGCAGGGAAGCCTGGTATGCTGCAGTCCATGGGGTCGCAAAGAATCGGACATGACTGAGCAACTGAACTGAACTGAGGGGGAAATTAGGGGGCTCTGGTTTTCCATTGACTGCAATGAGTAGCATATTTCTGAGTCAGAGAAAATCTTCCTTCCTGCTGGGTCTGTGAGCTGTGGTACTGAGGGACGCATGCGTGAGAGCCTTCCCTTCAGAGCTTCCCAACCCCATTCTGATTGAGCTTTTCTTTGCTCATTTCCACATTCCCCCCTCCCTTTTGATCTGGGTCTTTCCTTGAGACCATTACTGATCAGTTTTAGTGGAATTGTGTTTTGTCCTTCAATCGCAGGACCTTGCGTGGACATCATGTGCCACATCAGAGGGAAAGTGCATAGTGATAGAAACTGAGTGAGGCCACGTTAGAGTAGTAAGGAAAGTAGAAGGAGAAACTCAGCCATTTTCCCTCTTGAAATCGTATCTTGTGAAGAAGATAGGAGCATCAGCAGCATCTCAAGGCACTGAGTCAATGTCATTCTATTTAGTGTGCATTTCTGCAGGGGGTTGACAAGCAACATGTACAAAGTTTTAAAATAGGGAATTCCTGGTGGTTGAGTGGTTAGGACTCTGCACTTTCCCTGCCAAGAGCCCAAGTTCAATCCCTAGTTGGGAAACTAAGATCATGCAAGCTATGCAGCATGGGGGAAAAAAAACAAAAAACCAAAACTATGCAAAGCAGAATTCAAAAGTAATAATATGACAGCTAGCTTTTATGAGGGTTTTAAACCATGACCCAGGACCTGAAGGTAGCTGAATAAATCAAAGGGCCAAGGAGAGTCAGGTGAAATTTGTGCTTGTTCCCTCATCTTGTGTAATTGAGTTTCTCCTTCTCCAAAAGTGTTTATCCAAGTAGTAGTAGTATTTGCTATCGGACAAATGCTTCCTTATTCATTAAGTATGAAATCAAAGTCTATGTAGCTGTCTAAAATTACTTTAGGTGATGAGTCGAGTGATAGTTTTTGGGCTGCACAATTTGTGATTATGTGCTCATTGACACTTGCTCTGACCTAAGGAGGATTTGATGAGAACTGGCCAAATGGCACAGACTTGTATAGCACTTGACCAATCAAGTGGGTTCCTCAATCTCTATGAAGTTCAAAAAGTGTTCCTTTCCAATGGTATCCGAGCCACAGAGGAGGCAGTGGCCTGGCTGTGTAGAAAAGCTTCAGTCCAATGAAGAAACATGCAAATCATCGTTGCTGTTTGGTCGTTAAGTCGTGTCTGACTCTCTGCAGCCTCATGGACTGCAGCCCCCAGGCTTCTCTGTCCATGCGATTTCCTGGGCAAGAATACTGGAGTGGGTTGCCATTTCCTTCTCCAGAGGGTCTTCCCAACCAAGGGATGGAACCCGCGTCTCCAGGATAGGCAGGGTCCTTCACCACTGAGTCACCGGGGAAGCCCTGCCAATCGTTACCAAGAATTTCCCCCATGAGATAGTGGGCAGCTCTGTGAAACCCACTTGCCAAACCTCGAATGGTCTGTCAGGCAACTTGGAGCGTCTGGGAGGGAGCCATGTGGACAGTTTTCTGGATTGCGTTTTTGGAATGTGACACCAACCCTGGATCTAACATCTTCCCACATAATGCTGCGTGATATTTGCCTGATATCGTCTGCTGAGAATTCATTACTTGGGAAAGCAACACTGAAGACTGCACACTGGTGTTCAGATTCACAATATCCAGCACTTTAAACAGTGTGTTCACCTGCCCCCTCACTTTATCACCACCAGTCTGGTGTAAGGGCATGACCTGTTCACTCCTGTTGGAAGAGCACTGAGTGTTGTGGGTTCAGTATCTTTTTTTCTTGATTTGCTGAGGTTTGTTGGAGACCTCCACAATTGGGAATCGAGCTCTGAGGCAGGGACTGTTCAATAGTACTGGGGTTGAGCATTGAGAATGTAGCTCCAGTATAGAAATTCATTCCCAGTCTGGAGAGTTGTTTCTCTGAAGCAATTAAGAGGGAGACTTGGAAAAACTGATTTCCTGGAAACCCATCACTGAGAGGTGGGAGGACCCTAGAAAGATGGATTGGGTGACTGAAGATGCCCAGAGCGCTTTGGTTTCTCTAAGCCTTTCTTTCAGTGTCCTGGCTTCTTACAATAATGATGAAGGCTGGGAGGACTTTGCTTAGGGGACTCTTATCTGTTGAACTGAAATATTAAGGATTTTAATGTTTGTTTTTTTTTCTTAGTAGAATCACCTAGGGTACAGGCTAATCGGTTTGCCAAGTTAACTACATCTTCAGAGGACAGTTTCCCATTCTGTCCTAGTTCTCTTAACCAACAAAGTCCTGGTTTGGCCTGTTAATGAACAGAGTTGAAGGCCACCCTAGTGAATTTGTTATCCATAGGGAGACCAGCATTCTCCTGAAAAACAACCTGGAATCGACTTGTGATTGTGTGATTTATGTATAATATACATTTGGTCTTCATCCTCATTTCTGGCACAGAACTCCTAAAACTCTTGGAATTTTCTGATTAAAGCAACAAAGATGTCTCTTGTTAGGTGAATGAGTTGGGTTTTGGACCCCACCTAAACATCGGGGCTGGCTGCCAAGAGAACCAGCATGATTAGAGGGTTATAACTTTTCAGTGCCCATTACCTCCAGCTGCCCAAACTCCAGGGAGGGGAGAGGGCCTGGAAGTTGAATTAATGATTCAATCAATTATAAAACCCAAAGGGCAGAGTTTACAGAACTTTCAGGTCGATGAACATGGCAACGTAGGGAGTGTTCACTGGAGGGGGCATGGGAACTCTGCCCTTTCCCCATACCTTGTTCTGGGGCTCTCTTCCATCTGGCTGAATCATTTTCTTTTATAACCAGTGATCTGGTAAGTAAACTGTCTCTCTGAGTTCTGTGAGCCACTCTAGCATATTTGTTGAACCTGAGGAGGGTGGTCCTGGGAACCTGATTTATAGCCTAGCTGTCGGTCAAGAGCAGAGGTAACCTGGGCTTGCAATTGGCTTCTGAGGGCAGTTGTGCAGTCTTGCACCTCATCTTATAAAAACAGAAGGCATATAACTGCCCTTCGGGACATGCTAAATGGGAACCAGTAAGGGTGGCTGAAAAAAGATCGATGCTGGGAAAGATTGAAGGCGGAAGGGGACGACAGAGGATGAGATGGTTGGGTGGCATCACTGACTCAATGGATATGAGTTTAAGTAAACTCGGAGTTGGTGATAGACAGGGAGGCTTGGTGTGCTGCAGTCCATGGGGTCGCAAAGAGTTGGACATGACTGAGCAACTAAACTGAACTGAAGGGTGGCTGAACCCAGTGTGGGGTAGAAGCTGGGGTGCCATGGTGACCCTGTGTGGAGGCCAAGAGCCTGTGAGCACCCACCTAGCAGCAGCTGCTGGGACTTTGGATGGGAGAACTTCCACTTGAGGGGGGTTTACCACCTTGCCACCTGACAGTAACTGAAGCTGCCCCAGTGACTGAAGGATATAAAGTGATCTTAAGCTCCAATAGCTGTGATGTCTAGGCCAATGTCAGAGAAACACTCTAATGCAGGTGGCAGTGCCCAGAAGGGTTCCACATTAACATGGAAGTGGAAATGGTTTACACCAGACCAAGCTGCCTGCAGAACGCAAGGAGATGCAGGAAGCCTCTTTTCACCCTGGGCGGACTCTGGAACCACATGAGGAGGTGCTGGAGTGTACTTGGGAGTCACTTGGACAGTGCCCTACAAACTGCTCTCAACTGACCAACAAAGAGCTGTTCACTTTGTGAATGGCAGTTTCAAGTTGAATGGACAGCATTTTGTTTGGAAAGCTTCTATGTAAAGACCAGCAAATGGAGACTGATTGAAAAAGGTTAAAAAGGACCAGCTTGTTTGCGCTAAATTACATGCATTTTTCCTAGCACTGATGAAGAACTGAGTTGTCGAAGCCCCCAGGTTTGAATTTTTACTGACTGGGGTAGTGGCCAATGGCCTGGTCATATGGTCAGGCAGGAGGGCAGTGGCCTATTTAAGGATGTCCATTTGGGGCACAGTCCCATGGAAATCAATGGTGACCATTTGAGGGGTGCGTTAGAGTTGGACATGTTGGTGCCTATCAGAAGAACCCCTTTCCAGGTTTGGAAGGTGACTGGAACAAAGATATCCCCATGTGCTCCCGTGAGATGACTACCTGGGTCCATGAAATCTGTGGACATGGGCACTGTAGCAACACTGAGATGGGCTGAATGTAGACAAATAGGCAGGCTTCATTTTATTATGCTTCACAGATAACTTTTTTTTAACAAATTGAAGGTGTGTGACAACTGTATCAAGCAAGTCTATAGGTGTCATTTTTCCAAAAGCATTTGCTCTTCATGTCTGTCTATCACATTTTGGCAATTTTCACAGTATTTCAAACTTACACACTGGGGAACTAAAATATTTGTGTGGCTGACTTTATTATGATACTTGCTTGTGGTGGTCTAGAACTGGAATACACAGCATCCGCGCCCTCTGAGGTCCAAAATGCTGATAACAATTGTTCTGTCTGCCAACGTGAGACACTGAGACCATGGAAGTTCATGTGCCAGGTGCACTGGTGGGCAGGCCCTGAGCAAAGGGGGCAGGTCAGACTGATGCCAGAAGCCCAGGGCTACAAGGGGTTCTGACATGAAGAGATGCCAACTCTGGACTGTGCTTTGCCACCCTGGTGGTAGATGCAAATGCTCAGAATACTATGAAATCATGACAGAAGATTTTGCACCAGTTTGGGCAGCTGACCATCACTTCTTTAGACCAAGGAACTCACTGTAATGTCCACTGATGGATAGATATTATTCTAGATGTTTCTGTGAAGGTGTTTTTTAGATGCGATTAACATTTACATCAGTAGACTTTATGCGTAAAGCAGATTACCTTCCATAATACAGGTGGACTTCAGTTAAGACCTTAATAATAGAAGACTGACCTCACCCGCACAAAGAAGGCTCTGCCAGCAGACGGCCTTCGGACTATAAACATACCATCAACCTGCTTCACCAGCCTGCTGCCCATCCTGCCAATTGTGTGGACTTGCCAGCCTCCACAATGACATGAGCTAGTTCTTTAAAGTAAATGTCATTCTCTCTTTCTCCTGTTCTCTATGTTTGTATTAATAGATACACATAGATGCTGGATCACAGCCCCCACCCCCAGCTGTACTATCCAAAATATTTACAGAGTATCCACTGGTGGCCAGACTGTCCCAGTTAAGAACTACTGTGTATGTAAATCTTTTCTGTTTCTTGCTGCTAGTTTGTGGTCTGCTTCATCTATGTCTTATACATTTCTTGACAGTTTATTCCTGAATATTAAAAACCATCACTTTGTGAATGAAAGTCACGATTCATTAAATTGTCTAACTTTACTGATATTTAAAAAATATTTTATTTTACTCATTTTTAACAGGTGGGCAACTGAATTATCTTAAACATATTGTCATATATTTATATTTCATACAAGTATAATATATACAAAAAATATATTAGTGATGGCACTAGTGTTCCAGGCCTGCTCTTCGCATGGCAGCCAGGAGGAGGCCTTTGCTATGGTCCTTGGCTGATACCTGGGGGACTCTTGTCCACTTGCCCACCCACCCCCCCAGCCAGTCTGGGAATGAGGACAGCAGATGGCAGGATCAGCACTTTTGAGAACTCAATACTGACTGCAGGGAGCCCTGTGGCATCCACATGGACTCGGAGGGTCCAGGGTCCATTGCATCGATAAGCTCTGTGGGTGATTCTGAGAAAGCAGAGTGGGGAGAACACTGAGAATGGATGGGCTCCTCCGATGGCCAACCTTGGGGGGTGGTGTTGGGGCCTAGTGGGACCCCAGCATTCAGAAGCTCACCCTGCAATCTGGGTGAGTGGGGAGTGTGCACAGGAGGCACATTCTCCAGGGAGAATGACCAGCCCCTCACCAGATTCTCAGGTTCCAGACAGCAGAACAGCTCAGAACCTTGCTCCATCCCAGAAGGGAAGATGGGTTCTGAGCAGCCAGCATGCCTTCCTGGGTCACAGTCACAGAATGGTCCCCAGTGGGGCTCCAAACCTCCACCGCGCCCATGTTCAGGTGTTATGAACACTGCAAAGCACTCTTCTATGGCCTCAGACTGACTCGGTCAGCCAGCGGCTCCCTCCAAAACCAGCTATTCTCTCCTCCAGGACTTGGGAAGGCTGTCTTTAAGATTCTTCAGGATGGCTTGCCCAACCCCAGGGCCTCTTCAGAGTGTATTTACTCCATCTGAGAGCTGCTTCTCAGAGCAACTGGGGAAACAGAAGCAGGCTGAGGATGTAGGTCAACTTGGAGCCCAGACCCCTCAGCCCACTCTCCTGGAGTGTTGTACTGAGCCCCCTGCCTGGGCCTCTGGGCCTGGACATCTGGCCCTGAGATCAGAGTGGGTGAGGCCAAGGCACAACCACCTGGGTGGCCAAGGCAGGCCAGTGTGAACTTTTCTTGCCCTAGAGAAAGCCCAGGGTGTTAGGGCCTTGGGTCCCCACAAGGCTAAAGGGGGCCATGCAGGCCTTCCAAAGGCCCTTGGAGCCCAATGAGCTAGACCACCAGCTAAGACAGAGGAAGGTATTGTAGGAAACTCACAACCACACTCAAAAGCAGAGGATTTCTTACCAGACTGCAGCAGGTTTAATAGCGGCCCCAAAGGTATGCCCAAGTTGTAACCCCCAGAACCTACAAAGAGGACCTGATTTGGAGAAACAATCTTTGTACATGTGACTGTGGATTTTGAGATGAGCTCAGTCTGGATTAACGTGGGCCCTTGTTTGGGCTCAGCTGCTCAGTTGTGTCGACTCTTTGTGACCCCATGGGCTGTAGCCTGCTAGGCTCCTCTCTCCATAGACTTTTCCAGGCAACAATACTGGAGTGGGTTGCCATTTCTTACTCCAGAGGATCATCCTGACCCAGGGATCAAACCTGTGTCTCTTGCAATTCTGATTCTTTACCACTGTTACATCCTCATAAGAAGAAAAGATCATGTGAAGACAGAGGCAGAGAATGTCCCTGGTGGTACAGTGGGTAAGACTCTGCCTGTCTATGTGGGGAACATGGATTCAATCCCTGGTCCGGGAAGATGCCACATGCCATGGAGCAACTAAGGCCGAGTTCAACAACTACACCCTAGAAGCCTGCACCCTAGACCCCGTGCTCTGCAACAAGAGAAAAGTCAAAGTATTAGTCACTCAGTCATGTTCAACTCTTTGGGACCTGATGGACTGTAGCCCCCAGGCTCCTCTATCCATGGAATTCTCCAGGCAAGAATACTGGAGTGGGTTGCCATTCTTTTCTCCAGGGGATCTTCCCAACTCAAGGATTGAACCCAGGTCTCCTGTATTACAGGGAGATTCTTTACCGTCTGAGCCACCAGGGAAGCCCAGAACAAGAAGCCCATGCGCTGCAAGGCAGAGGAGCCCCAGCTCTCTGCAACTAGAGAAAGCCCTCACGCAGCAACAAAGACCCAGCGCAACCAAAAAAATAAATAATAAAAGACAAAAAAAGACAGGGTCAGGGATTCAAGTCCTGCAAGCCACAAGCCAAGGACACCACACAGCAACCACAGCAAGGAATGGATTCTCCCTTGGAGTCTCCAAAATGCTCACCCCTGCTGATACCTCAATTTCAGACTTCTGGCTTCCAGTCCTATGACTGTTAGGTTTATGTTGCTGCAAGCCATCGTTTATAGTGATTCATTACAGGGGCCCTAGGATACAGATGCACCAAGCAATAGATGTAGGTGTTTCTACAAGCTCTCTTAGCTGAGAGAACACAGCAGGCCATGGGGGAACTGTGGCCTGAGGGTCTGGCCAAGAGCTCACCAGCACCTCCCATACCCCATCAGAGCCCCTCTCTACCCTGGCCTACCTGTGGGGCCCCTGACCACTGAGGCACCTCTGGGTAGTAAATGTTTACTGTTTCTAACCCAAAGCCTGGTTTTTCCTACCACACTGACTCATGTAGCTGGCATTGTCTGTGAGGTATCCCACCATTAGGGTACCAGAAAATTTACAGGTTAGAGCTTGTATTACAGTTGGGAGAGCAGATCTCCTGGGGAGAGGGGAACAATTCCCCTAAAGCCATCCCAGAATGGTACAGGACACAAGCCACCTGGCAGGCCTCTCCTCCTCTCCCAACCCTGGAGCCAGAGAGCAGATATCAGAAGTTTTTGTAACCTGGGTGACTTGTTTATCCATCACTGCAACCCAGCACAGAACCCCGTCTTCCAGGGCTTAGCCTGCTTTTATAAAAAGCAACAGACGGCCAATGGCCAAGCAGTGCCACCTCTGCCTTCTTGCTGCAGAGCAGGCCGGCCATGCTTCTCCATCCTGCAGTCAACCATTGGTTCTGTGGGTGTCCTGGAGCCAGCGCAGCACATCTGACAAACCAGTGCCTTTCCGGGCACTAATTTCTACGGTGGTGATGCTCTGCTTGGCACAAGCAATGAGGTCCGGGAGCCTGATTAATGACTTCATCTCTTCTATGGTCATGTAACAGGGCAGGTCACTGGAGTGAAAGCAGCATGTATCAGAGCAGGCTGCCAGAAGCCCATCCTAGCCATCACTGTACCCCTCCCACCCCGCAATGAGCCACCCTCTTGGCTATCCTCTATAGGAGCTCCACCCTGGGGCACACCTGCACTCCCGCTCCCCTCTCAGACACGTACATTTTATTGAAGAGAATCAGAACTGATGCTTCTGCAAGTTCTTCTGCCGATAGGAGACCCAGGAGCTGCACACACGATGCCGAGAGCTGGGTGGGGTTAGAGGCATCCACCATGAACTGGAAAGAAGTGAATGGAGATTAGGGCCCCCCTGGGATGAAATACCATCCTTGCCAAATCTCTATTCACATCACAAGCCTGGCTCAGGAAGAGCAAGGAAGGCTTCAGGAAAAGCAGAGGGGAGCGAGCTATGCAAGAATCACCAGTGTTATTTGTTTCCACCTACACGGAAGTCACTCTACTGTGCAGCCATTACTTTTACAAAGAAGTGTCCCAGAATTTGGGGCATAGATCTTGCCAGGATGGGATGAACCAGGGCGTACACAATTAAAACATAAAACATACAAACATATCCAGAACAATAAGACAGTGAGTGGATGACACAGTTATCTGCACAGAAGAAATACTGTCTTCAGCAACCCTTTGGTGAGGTTTCACGTTTGCCTGGGAGCAGCAGCATTAGGGAGCAGCTGGAGTCCCAGAAGGAAGCAATTCTGGCCTGGGCCATGTTTCCTTGACTAGCATAGCTGCCTGCGAGCCCAAGTTCTATCCCACACAAAGTGAAACTGGGGACTAGACAACCCTGCAATGGGGACTTTCTTCCCCAAAGGAAGGGCAAAAGACTAGGACCTACCAGGAGAGAATGACAGTTTCCATAGTAACTGGACCAGATGGGGCCCATGCAGCCCCCCAGCTCCCGGATGGTGATCTTTTTTTGAGCCACAATGTCCGTTAAGTTGGTACCCACCTGTGGAAAAAACCGGGATGTAGAGACCACCACAAGCGCTTTCCCACGGGCAGCTCCTGGAGAGCAATGTGCCCAGCCCTTTACACTGCGACCTATCCACCAACATAAGTCTTCTCAAGTGTTTAGGCTCTAAGGTAGAACCCACAAGGGAGGAGGTCTAAAGATGCTCCCCGGGGTGCAGGACCCACAGGGCTGGCTGTGGCCGGGGGGACCAACACCTACCAGAGGGATTCGCCCTGTGCGGGGAGCAGCAAACTCTGACCAGTGGTGAGGGGCAGGCGGCTCCGGATGCCCTGCGACTCTGTCCCGGCGGAGCCAGGCTCACCGCGATGACACCCACCACCTCCCGAAAGGTGTCTTGAACACACTCACCAGTCAGACCCCAGCTTCCCTTTAAAGGAACCCAAAGCTCTGCTAATCGCAAGGGGATCCGCTTCTCCTAAACCTGCAGGACGCCTACCGTGGGCCGCGTCAGGGGCGGATCGCCCAGGTCGTCCTTCCCATCCCGGGAGCTCAGCTGTGCGAGGTAGTCAAGGACTCTTGAGTGGGGCCAAAGAGGGCGCGCCGGCCGGGCCCTGCCCCCCGCCCGAACGCCCCAGACGAACCCCGCTCCGCCCGCCATCAGCAACCCTCGGATCCCCACGCCCCTCCGGACCCCCTTTCCCCCCCGCCCAGCGCGGAAGGATAGTCTGCAGGCGTTTCACCAACATCGTCTTCCCCACCCCCGTGGCCCCCAATAGGAGACACATCCCGCTTTCCGCTCCACTCAACACCCTTAGCTCCGTGAGACACGCAAGGCCCACCCTCAGCTCCGCTCTCATTGGATAGACTCCGCCGCCGGGCATCTCATTGGCTCCCTACTCTAACCGTCTCAGTAGGCGCGGTCTAATCGGCGCCCAGCGTCCGGAGCGAGCGGAAAGACCCACCTCCCCACGGCTCGCGGGCTGGCCGGCGACGTGCGCGTGCGCGCGTCTGAGAGGCAGGCGGAAGCGGAAGTCGGGGGCGCGCCGGCCAGCAGTGGGGTTCGCCGCGGCGTCAGGTTGGGGTACCGGGTCGCCATGGGGCGCGGCAGTGGCACCTTCGAGCGTCTCCTAGGTAACGCGGCCCCCGCTCCCCGGTGGGAAAGACCTCCGCCCCCAGTGCTCCCGTGCGACCGCCGCGCGACTCCGGTCCTGGGCGGGCGGGCGCGAAGGCGACGTAAGGCCCGGCGGTCCTGGGCGCAGGGCCTGGAGCCGACCGATTGAGTGAGGGTCCGCGCAGGAGACCGGCCAGGAGCTTGGGGAAGTAACTACCAGCGTCTGGCCAAGCGGGCCTCACGTCCTGAGTCACGAGAATGGATGACTCAGTGAAATAGTAAAGTCTCAGTAGACCCTCTCTCCCCGCCAAAAACCTTGGTTACGTGGGATTTGGGAATTCTGACCCATAGGTGGGCCTCAAAGGGTGGAGCCAGCAGTGTCCTCCCTGGGACCTGCCAGCTCTTTGGAGCGCTGCTTCCCCAGGGATCCAGACTCGCGCCGTATGTCCCACCACTGAGCTCCGGGAAGAAGCGCCGGGGCTAAGAAGGCGTTTCCTCTGTTGGGGTGGATAACTGATCTTTCTGAACCTCCTGGAGGTCACGGGTTTTAGGAAGGAAAATCAATGTTTATGAACAAGCTCACTATCCTTTAGGAAACTGTTCTGTGTTTAGGACAGGCGCCCTAGGTAGTGGAACGATCAGCCTGAACCTGGCCTCCTTTTTCCTCAAATGTGATTTCGGAGGGACCTCAGATGAGGCCTCTTCGTTGCTCATTGAATTATCTGGGCTGAGGAACTCAGCTCAGGTGATCGTTCAGCCCTTCAGCGATCAAATCAGGAGTCACTGTCAGATCCTTTTTGATCTTCTGTACGATTCCAGGGACCACGGTCCTGACTGAACTGGGAGAGCAGCCCCTGAGCCGCTCATCTGTGTCTGAGGCCACAGTGACGTAGACTAGAGGTGGTCGTTGGAGAGTCCTCCTTGGCAGGTCAGCCCTGTCTGCACTCCACAAAGCACTTGAGGCAGACGACCGGGGTCTCTGCTGTATGTCTTTCCAGCAGTACCACAGCTGAGAGCTAAACAGGCTAAGCTTCTGAAAACCAGGGACTCTGAGGGGTGAGGCAGTAGAGCTTAGTGTTGAATTCTGGCTCCACCCCAGCAAGCTATGTGATTTCAGGCCCAGTGACTTTACCTCTCTTCACTTTTCACCTAGTTTCTTTGTCCGCAGAGAGGGTGGAAATATTCCCTACTTCTTAAGGTTGTGTGAGAGTTGAGTGAGTTTGTGTAAAGTGTTTGGAACAGCACTTATGTGTAAAAAGCCCACAGTGTCTTTCAGGAAGGACAGTGCTTTTCACGATTATTGTCAGGTGTCAGGAGGATGGTCACATAGTTTTCCGTTTGGTCCAGATGTCTAAAATGGGAAGGGGACAGTTCCTTCTGCTTGTTGCTGAGCTGGGGGGCCAGCTAGGGGATCACACACAGGATGAGCCCTTGTAATGGTGCGTTTCTGCCTTAGACAAAGCGACCAGCCAGCTTCTTCTGGAGACTGACTGGGAGTCCATCCTCCAGATCTGTGACCTGATCCGCCAAGGGGACACGCAGTAAGTGCTCCCTTGGAAGCAGTGGGGTGGCCGCACCGTGGACTGGGGTTGCTTCCCACTCCAGGATCCTGCCCGGATGAAAGCTGAGCACGTTAGACTGCGACGGAGGACTGTGTGGTCTGTGTACTAGGGCTTTTGAGATCTCGGGACAGTTAAAGGACTTTCTCTGTACAGTGTGGGAGTATCTGGTTACCTGGAAGTTTGCCTAGGGGGTCTCAAGGACCAAATGGCCAATGGGCTTTTCCTCAGTCTTAGGAGCTGTTTTCTTCTTTTTTTTTTTTTTCCCTCTGTTTGCTTTTACCAATGCCTTTTTTTCTGTCAGGGCAAAATATGCAGTGAGTTCCATCAAGAAGAAAGTTAACGACAAGAATCCTCACGTGGCCTTGTACGCCCTGGAGGTAATCAGACTCTGTGCTCCAGTTGGTCCTGGTTGGGGTGGCAGCGATGGGCGCACTGCCAACAGTGGAGGCACCAGGGACAGAGGCCTGGGCTGGGCCGGGAGCAGCGCTTCCACTCTTCCGCCTGAGGCTGACATGTGTAGGCCCTGAGGTTGACTGCAGTGTCTGTCCTTGGTGATAAAACACGGAGTTAAAAGGAGCGGGTGTAGCCCTGGCTGCTGCTTGCACTGGAAACTGCTCTGTTGGCTTTCCTGCCTAGCTGGGTGGTCTGAGGGCCCTGTTGAGGTCCACCTTCTTGTGAGGAAGGGGAATTCCAGGAGGGGGAGTTCCTGCCCTGACCAGCAGCTTAAGTCTTCCCCTCCCTGGGGTCTGCAGGTCATGGAGTCTGTGGTGAAGAATTGCGGCCAGACAGTCCATGATGAGGTGGCGAACAAGCAGACCATGGAGGAACTGAAGGAGCTGCTGAAGGTGGGCGCTGTGCAGGAAGCAGAGAGGCCCATGCGGGGGTGCACCACCCTGAGGGCTTTTTGGGACTTTGCTGGCACCTGTGTCAGAAATCAGTGCCGAGGGCTGGAGGGCAGGTTTTTGTGATCCCTGCCTGGAGAGGTCAGGCCTTCCCAGAAGCTAGCCAGGGCTGCATCTGGGAGTGCGGAGGAGATCCCACTCCTCCTGCAAGGTGAGGAAAACTTCCTGGGGGGCAGGAGCTGAGTCTTGAAGGGCAGGGGATGCTCACTGAGCAGCAGAGAAGGTGGGGAGGAACAGTGTGTGTGGCCATGGCAGCGCATGTGAGTGGAGACCTGGGGTCCCCAGAAGACTTGCATAGAGCAGGGAGGCACATGAGTTTGTTGTGTTTGTGGAGGCAGAGATGGAGAACAGGAACAGAGAAGGGATGCCAGATCAGTGGGCAGCCCGCCCCCCACCCCGCCCACCAAGGCAGAGGAGGGAAAGTCCTCTAGGGCCTCAAGGGGTCATCTGAGCAGGGCAGGTTCGCTGCCCTGTAGGGATTGTGATGTGGGCAGTGACACCAAGAGGTTGTATGATGTAGAGTGGGGTGGTGCAGCCATTCTTGGGGGTGAAGGGCATCCCACAGAGCTGAGGCTGCCCTAGGTGGCAACTTAGGAGCATAGCTCCGGCACCAGCTCCACCGCCACTGTGGCCTAGGCCTGTTGGGCACCTGTGGGCCTCGCAGCCCGGAGCCCATCTGAGGCTGAGCTGACAGTAGGACTTTTCCGAAGCCCTGACTGGAGGCTTGGCCAGCAGCTCCTCAGTCCTGGGTGACAGAGGAAGAATTAGCACCTGACCTCCTTGTGTGGGCATGATCGTGTCCTGTTCACACAGCTCGGGATCTGAGTCCTTGGAGGGCCGGGGCTCCTGGAGTGGGGTCCACTGACTGGACCTAGATTACAAAAAAGAGCAGGAACTCTGGCATGGGAGCTGTGGTGGGTGTCTCCTCGAAGCAACTTTCTCGACCCACTGTCCTGAGCATTGTGTGTGTACATCGTCGAAAGAGCTCTAGAAATGGGATTGGTTGTGCTTTAATCTACTGGAGGTGGTGGCCTTGTATGTGGAGAACTTTCTGGAACCATTCGTCCCACCTGTCTGGGCTGCCTATGACTGGAAGGAGGAAGCTGTCTGACCGTGTGTCTGCACCCTCAGCCCAGGCTCGGTTGGCTATGCCTGTTGGAGGCTGGCCTTAGCCAGCCCCAGAGTGGGTCACAGGCTGAGGGGCTCCCTAGGTGGTCAGGGTCCTGTTGGGCACGGGGTGAGATGGGGAGAGACAGGTGGTGATGGGACAGTAGGGGTGGGAGAGCCTTCACTTGAGGGATTCCCCAGGTTCTCCCAGGTGGTTAGAGACCAGTTGCAGGCTCTGAATCAACAGACAGCATGAATGGATTTGTCTTTGGGGAACGGGGTTCCTTGAGGAGGCCTGGATCTGGGGAGTGGGTCCCTACATGGCCCCGGTGCCCTACTTGGGCTCCTGTTGGGGTCTTGCCAGCTGCTTCCTTGTTCTGAGATATCTCTTTGGCACCTCCATCTCCTCATCTTTCTTCTTCTCTTGCCTACAGAGGCAGGTGGAAGTAAATGTCCGGAACAAGATCCTGTACCTGATTCAGGCCTGGGCACACGCCTTCCGGAACGAGCCCAAGTACAAGGTGGTCCAGGACACGTACCAGATCATGAAGGTGGAAGGTGAGTTATGGGGGTGGGGGCGAGAGGGTCCAGTTCCGGGCTTGGGACACAGTGTCAGGAGTTGGGGGGCTGCCCTGCACCAGGTGGGCCCAAGGGAGGCTGTTCTGGGTGCAGCACTGTGCTCTGAGCGCAGTGGACTCGGAGAGTCTTAAGCGGGGCTGTGGCAGCTGAGACAGGCTTCTTCAGGCCCAGTGTGTGTTCCTCCCTGTTGTTGTGGTACCTGTGGGGAGATGTTGGGGTTCTGGCAAGGAGAGCGGTGGATTCAGGTCACGTTTGGAAGATTTCCTGGTGCTCCCACCAGGTGTGGGTGAGAGGGCAGGCTGGGTCCTCTCCCACCTGTGCTGCACGGCGGGGCCGGGTCTTCTGATCCCAAGGTGAGCCATGGAGTGGGAGCAAGGGCACTGCCTGTTGGTTGCAGGGTGGGCAGGACTGTGCAGACACTGTGTGATGAAGGACCCATCCAGGTCAATAAGCTGGCCTCAGACTCTCAGTTCCTGGACTTCAGACGTGAGAGAGGACATCCAGAGTTTATGGAGGGGATTTCCGGGCAGTCCACTGGTTAAGATTCTGGACTTTCACTGTTGGGGACCCAGATTTGATCTCTGGTTGGGGAACTAAATCCCACAAGTCACACAGCATGGCCAAAAGAAAAAAAATAACCAACAAAGAAAGACTTTTGGGATTCCAACAGATCCATGTCTCAAAAAAAAAAAAAAAAACCTTGGGAACTCCAGTTTAAAAGCTCTGGAAAGTGTGGTTGGCTGGAATGCAGGCCAGGAGCCAGACGAGAGGCCCAGGGAAGACCCGTGAGGCCTTGATGTGGTGGGAGCAAGGCTTGGCTCTGTGTGTGGTCCCCAGGACTGAGCGGCCGTGTGGAGCCACCCCAACTGTGGGGCAGGCCGGCTGAGCTGCGCCCCGAGACACCCTTGTGCAGTGTGAGGTCATTGTGCTTGCTGCCTGGGGCTCTGGGCCTCTTCTGTCTGCTTGGGGAGGCAGACGCCAAGAGCTGGGATGTGACCACTGGAGGCCTCAGGGCTGATGGATAAGAACAGGTGAGGCTGAGGGCCTCACACACCTGGGCAGCGTTCAGCGGTAACAGGGGCCTCCTTTCTCCAGGACACGTCTTCCCAGAGTTCAAGGAGAGCGATGCCATGTTTGCTGCGGAGAGAGTGAGTTCACGGGGTGCTGGGTCCAGGAGTTAGGCTGCTTGCAGGAGGCAGAAGGGAGACCCTGGGATCTGGGCTTGTTGGGAGCAGGTGAGCTGCTAATCGTCCTCAGCATGAGAATGCCCTTGAAGTAGAATATGCAGCTTTGTCTGCAGGTAGAGAAAGGAACCTGGTTGAAGGTGCCTTAGGGCTGTGGTTCCCAGTTAAATACTTCCATGTCTCCGAAGCTGTGGGAAGTCTTGCAGTCAGGTCTTTAGAAAGAAAACCGATTTGGAGGGAGATCCTTCCTCGAGTCACATCTGCATTGGGTTGGCCGCAGTCCTGTATGCACACCTGTGGAGAGCGGGGGTGGTCAGGGAGGGCAGGGGCGTGTGACCTGACTCTGCCCCTCCCCAGGCCCCCGACTGGGTGGATGCCGAGGAGTGCCACCGGTGCCGGGTGCAGTTCGGGGTCATGACCCGCAAGGTGAGTACACCTGCTTCAGGGAGGGCCCCAGCTCCCCACCTGGTCGGGATAGACCCCAAGCCTCCCGCTGTCATCACAAGGCCACTGCGCCCATGCCAGGCCCTTTCTGGACTGGGACCTGGCGGTGTGGGGAATGAGGTCACCTGGGGTCCGAGTCCAGTGGTCAGTGCCCTCAGGCAAAGTTCAGGCAAGGCTGCACTCCTGGGGAATGGAAACACTCCACGCCCAGGGGTTTGGGTCTGCATTGCCTCAGCCAGTAGCCCCTTGGCTGAGTCTCAGCTGACTCGGCTTGTCCGGCTTGGACCCTCCCTCTGCTCACTGAAGCTGTGGCCAAGGCTGGGGCCTGGGACATCTGAGCAGACTCCCCAGACTCATTGTCCAGTAAAACTTATTAGGACAGTTTATGCATTCTTTTGTGAACTTTTTTTCTTAATTTGACTTCTTTTCCTCAAAGTGGAGGCTACAATTGAGAGCTCTTGAGTGTGCCCTGTTCACCCAGGGCCTTTGTGGCCTCCCACCCCAGCCTGGGAGGCCCAGCCTGGCACGTCCTGCAGCGGGCAGTGCTGGGCAGGAGGTGGGCGTAAGGAGTGGCTGACAGGCCTCCCCGACTCACCCCATGTCACAGCACCACTGCCGGGCGTGTGGCCAGATCTTCTGTGGCAAGTGCTCCTCCAAGTATTCCACCATCCCCAAGTTTGGCATCGAGAAGGAGGTGCGGGTGTGTGAGCCCTGCTACGAGCAGCTCAACAAGTGAGTCCCCTGGGACACTGGAGCTAGGGCAGTGGCAGGCAGGGCCCCTAGGTCTGAGTCCTGCTGGCCAGTTGCTTGGGTTTGTCTATAAAGTTTTGGGAGAAGAGATGCAGAAGTTGCCTGGAGACCCCCCACCCTATGACAGTGAATTGCCTCTCTGCAGCCCCATTGACTGCATCACACGTACACATACACACCCCCAGGCCTGTGTGCCCGTACCCACCTTGTGTCCTGAACCATCAAGAGTGAGGTGCAGGCCCCCTGTCCCTCTCCCTTCAACTCCCGTGTGTGCGCCCCAAGGGGAACTCTTCCCACGAGACTGCTGCTAGCCATCAAACCTGGGCATTTGGCATCAGTGTGGTTAGTCTCTGTTCAGGGTTCCCAAGTTCCAGTAATGTCCTGTGGTGGTTCTGTCCTGTCAGGACCTGCTCGTTGCCTCAGCTTTCTAACCTGGTGAGTTTCAGCCTCTCTGTCTTTTGTGACAGGACATTACTGAGGGGCCTAGGCTGTTTGAGGCACATCTCTGGGTTTGGGTCTGAGGTCTCCTTGTGATAGTCAGGCCCTGTGTGGCTGGCCCAGGAGCCCGTGTCGTCCATCTTCCCAGCCTCAGTGATGGGATCTGATGATCTGGGGAAGGGATATCTGTAGGCCGCTCCACTGGGAGGTCCTTTTTTGTGGAAAGCTGCAGTGTGGAGGTGTTTGAGCCTCATTTCCAGGAAGGGGGCTGTCGTTTAGGCCAGTGACTTGCCCAGGGCCCTGCAGCCCAGAGGTGACAACTGGTTTGAAGGTCCAGCTTTTCTCTGGATGTGGTCTGTGGAACCCCCGTCTTCCTTCCCTGGGGGTGTCAGAGGGAAGCCCCAGGCTGTGTCCAAGAACACATGGGGGTGGGATATAGCACCCAGTGACACACGGCATCCTGTCTTCTCCAGAAAAGCGGAGGGAAAAGCGGCCTCGACAACGGAGCTGCCCCCGGAGTACCTGACCAGCCCGCTGTCTCAGCAGTCACAGGTACTGCCCGGGCCTCTGGGGGCGCCTTGACCCTTGGCCCTGCTGACTCTGTCCTGTCATCCTCAGCTGCCCCCCAAAAGGGACGAGACAGCCCTGCAGGAAGAGGAGGAGCTGCAGCTGGCCCTGGCCCTGTCTCAGTCGGAGGCTGAGGAGAAGGAGCGGATGGTGAGCAGGGGGCAGCCTTGCTGAGTCTGGGGGTGCCCGGGAAAGTGTGGAGTGCACCTCGGACACCCTCCTCCTGGTTCTCCTGCAGAGGCAGAAGTCGGCCTATACCGCGTACCCCAAGGCAGAACCCACACCCGTAGCCTCCTCAGCGCCCCCCGCCAGCAGCCTGTATTCTTCGCCTGTGGTGAGCCTGCCCTTCAGCTCAGCCCCAATGGCTTGGACCCCCTTCCTGTGGGGCGGGGGGCAGGCACCTGTGCCTCAGCAGGGATGCTCGAGTCTCCTGGGCAGGGACAGGCAGCCTGGTGCCCACAGGTCTCAGCTCCCTGATCGGGACCCCAGTGGAGCAGAGGACACTGGAAGGGCTGGAGGCCTCACTGTCGAGACCCTGGTGTCTTCCATATCCCCCCGAGTGGGAGGAGGTGGGGACATCTTGGGTCAAAGGTGCTCGTTTTTCTAGCCTCCCTTGAGGCCATCACAGGTCTGTTTGCTGGAGGTGGACCGAGTTTTCTCTGTACAAAGGAGGAAGGTGGCAGGTGGGGCAGAGGTTTAGAAAGACATTTGCAAACCCTGCAGGGCACTGTGGGTGGAGCTAAAAGAAGCCCTGCCAGTTGCCTACCCATCCCTGTGGTCATGGGAGGGCATTCCATCTACGGTTATGGAGCCCCTTGGCGCTCGGATAGGCTTTGGCCAGTCTGCAGGGTCCGCGCTCACGGCTACATCATCCAGGCCTCTCTGGCCTGTGGCCTCTCACATCTACCATGTCTCCCCAGAACTCGTCGGCGCCCCTGGCTGAGGACATCGACCCCGAGGTGAGGATACCCCAAGTGTGGCGCTTTCCCCTCGCTGCCTCCTGGCCCTTGGGAGTGACCCCCTCTTGCCTGTGCAGCTTGCGCGGTACCTGAACCGGAACTACTGGGAGAAGAAGCAGGAGGAGGCTCGGAAGAGCCCCACCCCGTCTGCGCCAGTGCCTCTGACAGAGCCCACGACCCAGCCTGGGGAGGGACACGCAATCCCTGCCAACGTGGAGGTAAGGGGCCACTCTCAGGCTTCCTACTGTGGTCCCTTGGGAGAGGGAAACGAGGATAGACAGAGATGGAGTCTCACTGTCTGGTCCCTTCCAGACTTCCCTCCCGGAGACAGACCCTCAGGCTGTAACTGCAGCCGGAGCTGCCTTTAGTGAGGTAAGTCGTGACTCCCTCCTTGGGCTGGGGGCAGACTTGGCCTCCCAGAGTGCAGAGTGCCAGGCTCACAGTGAGCTCCCAGAGGTGGGTCATTGCTGCTTACAGCTCTCCATTGAATGTCTCTGGGTTGGCTATGGGCCCTGCTCAACTCTTTGCTGTCTACCCCGAACAGGTTGGAATATTCTGGGGCTCTGCACTTTGGTGCCCAGTGGAGTAAGAGGCAAGGGCCAGGACAGCTTTTTCTTGGCCACACTGTGCCTGTGGGCAAAAGTCGAGCCTCCCTGGGCTTCCGTCCTCTCTCGTGAACCAGATGCTGAGGGTGCCTCTTGCAGACCCCCCAGGAGGACCCAGTCAGTCCTGCAGCAAGCTCAGAGCTCAGCATCTGGCTCAGCCAAACAGAGGGACCCTGCCCCAACTCAGGCTGGGGGTATGGGAGGTGCTCAGGCAGATTCCCTGTGCCCCGGCAGCAGTACCAGAATGGGGAGTCTGAGGAGAGCCACGCGCAGTTCCTGAAGGCCCTGCAGAACGCTGTAACCACCTTCGTCAACCGCATGAAGAGCAACCACGTGCGGGGCCGCAGCATCACCAACGACTCGGCCGTGCTGTCCCTCTTCCAGTCCATCAACACCATGCACCCCCAGCTGCTGGAGCTGCTCAACCAGCTGGATGAACGCAGGCGTACGTGCCACGTGCACCCTCCCGGGTGTCCCTCCAGGGCCTCAGGGGCTCCCATCAGGGGCCTGCCACACCCACTAGGGGCAGTGGGTGCCTTCTGGGCCAGGAGTCATTGCACCTGGGGTGGTGTGGGCAGGGCTGCCCCGAGGGACCTTGGGCTCTGCATGAGGGAGTCTCAGTGGCAGGTGTCCCGCTGATCACAGTGAGCTGGAGGGAGTGTATATGTGTGTGTACGTGTGCCCATATATGTGCATGCGTGTCCACCTGCCCTGGAGCCCCAATGCCAGCTGCACCCTGTAGACAGGTGCTCAGCTGGGCCCTGCCATTTCCCAAGCCAGGCTGGGCAGCTCCTGTTCCAGCCAATGCCAAGGCCCCCCAGCTCTGCCCCCTCCCCACAGTGTACTACGAAGGACTGCAGGACAAGCTGGCGCAGATCCGTGACGCCCGGGGAGCGCTCAGCGCCCTGCGGGAGGAGCACCGGGAGAAGCTTCGCCGTGCAGCCGAGGAGGCCGAGCGCCAGCGCCAGATCCAGCTGGCCCAGAAGCTGGAGATCATGCGGCAGAAGAAGCAGGTGCGGTGGTGGCTGCCCGGCCCGGCCGTGGGGTGCTGGGGCCAGAGGCGGCCCTGACGCCTGCCTCATGATCCACAGGAGTACCTGGAGGTACAGCGGCAGCTGGCCATCCAGCGCCTGCAGGAGCAGGAGAAGGAGCGGCAGATGCGCCTGGAGCAGCAAAAGCAGACCATCCAGATGCGGGCCCAGATGCCAGCTTTCTCCCTGCCCTACGCCCAGGCATGTGCCTGCCACACACCCCTGTCCCTCGGGGCACCCTGGTGAGAGAGAAGTGCCCTGAAAGCTGTCTCTCTGTCTCCAGCTCCAGGCTGTGCCTGCAGCGGGGGGCGTGCTGTACCAGCCCTCTGGCCCGGCGAGCTTCGCGGGCACCTTCAGCCCAGCCGGCTCGGTGGAGGGCTCGCCCATGCACACCATGTACATGAGTCAGCCGGCCCCGGCCGCCAGCGGCCCCTACCCCAGCATCCCAGCAGCCGCGGCAGGTAATGGTGTGGGGTGGGGCGGGAGGGTGGGGGCCCAACAGCCAAGACGAACCCCAAATCACTACCCTTTCCTTTTTTATTGTTATTTTGGTGTGATCTCAAACTTAGAAAACAGTCGGCAGAGCAGTACACAGCATTTTTCAGATTCACTCTCTCTCCCCCTACTCACCGTCTCTTCTGACCCAATTTAGGGGGAGTGGCGGGTGTGACACCCCTTACTACTAGAGGCTTCAGTGCATTTGCTAAACCAGGATGCTGCCCAGGGCCTGGGCACAGGTGCCAGACGAAGAGCCCTGAGGCCCTGGTGTGACCACATCCACGGCCCGCTTAGCGCTCACACGATCCCAGGGCCTCATTTGTGCCAACAAGAAACCTGTCACCTGTTTAGCTATCTTCCCTCTTAGAACATTCCTTGGTCTTCCATGGGGTTCTGTGACACTGACTTCCCAAAGACCACTGACCCGTCATCTTGCAGACCACCTCTCACTTGGGCTGTGACTGGTCTTTTGAGAGAGTGATGTTCTGTGGGTCCTTTCTTGTCTCTATTGATTTCACTTACTGTTCTTTTGTGAGAATATGAAACACAAACTTACTTCTGTTAGTCACAAGGAAAAGGGAAGCTCAAACTCCATCTCCTGCCCCATCCATCCTCAGAGGTCTGAGCTCTCTCCTCTTCGCCTGCAGATCCCAGCATGGTGAGCGCATACATGTACCCAGCAGGGGCGGCTGGTGCGCAGGCAGCTCCACAGGGCCCTGCAGGGCCCACCACCAGCCCAGCCTACTCATCATACCAGCCTACTCCCACGCAGGGCTATCAGGTAGGTGGGGAGGCTGCCCCTTCCCTACAAGGCCCCTGGGCCCAACTGTTTCTCATCGCCCTCTGTCCTCCACAGAACGTGGCCTCCCAGGCCCCACAGAGCCTCCCAGCCATCTCCCAGCCCCCGCAGTCTGGGACGATGGGCTACATGGGGAGCCAGTCAGTGTCCATGGGCTACCAGCCTTACAGCATGCAGGTGAGAGGCTGTCGGGGGGCCTCAGGTGGGAGGAGCAGGGCCCTTGGGGGTGGGAGCGTGCTGGGCAGGCGCCACGCTCTGCTCACCACCCCACGTCCCCTCCACTGCCTCTCCCTGCTGGTTGGCATTTACCTGGTTACAGAGCTGCTTTCTTAGCGTGGGGCTGTTTCATTGTCCACAGAATCTCATGCCGACCCTCCCCGGCCAAGATGCGCCTCTGCCGCCCCCACAGCAACCCTATATCTCAGGGCAGCAGCCCGTGTACCAGCAGGTGAGCCTCTCCTGGGACCACCGTGGGTCATGACAGGGGACAGGCTTCACTGTGGACCCCCCCTCTACAGTGGGGCTGCCCTGGGAAGTGTGGCCGGCGTGGGCCAGGGCTGCTGCTCTTCAGGCACCAGGACAGACATGTAGCAATAACTGTTGGGTGTCAGAGCCGTATGTTTACTTAAAAGCCCAAGGTCCCATCAACTCAGCTCCAGAGACATGAATCTGGAATGCCTGGGGAGTGGAAGCCTATCTCTGCTGGGGACAGGGAGTCCATGATGAGTGGAGGGAGGGAGGAGTCAGGAGCGTGGGCTTGAGGGGCCTAAGTATGGGGACAGGCTGGTTTGTGCAGTGTTCTGGAGAGGAGCTGGTAGAGGATGGGGAGGCTGGGGCCTGGAGAGGGAGGACAGACCACCGGCCCGTGTGTCCCCCCGCAGATGGCGCCCTCCAGCGGCCCTCCTCAGCAGCAGCCCCCAGTCGCCCAGCAGCCCCCGGCACAGGGCCCGCCGGCACAGGGCAGCGAAGCCCAGCTCATCTCGTTTGACTGACCCTGGCTGGGAGCGCCCCATCTAGAGTAACACTACGGTTCTCCATAACCGCCGCCTCCATCTCTAACTAGCGCGTCCTCCCGCCTCGCTCTCCCCCCCGCATGGGCGGGGTGGCCCTTCCCTCCAGCCGTCTCCATCTCCGTCCTTGCCTGCCAGCTCCTGGTCCCCCTCAGCCCCATCCTCCTCCCTGTCTCCTTGGGTTGGCGTCTGTCTCCTTTCCCCAGGGCTGGGCCTCGGGGAGGAGGGTGGAAGGGAAGGACCTTCCCTGAGAGGAAGCCCCCAGCCCAGTATGTCGGGTTCTGTGAGGGCTGGCCAGAGTGGGGTCTCCGCCCCACACAGCTCATGCCCTCCCATCCGCACCCGGGAGTCCTTGGGGCCATGGTCTGTGACTAGCGTGAGTGCTCCCCAGAGTTCTCCAGCATGGCCCCCCAGGCTGTCAGCAGGGATGCTCCTGGCCCACAGAGGAAGGGTGGGGCCTGTCTCCAGCTTCTCTGCTTCTGAGCTGCCATCTTATCCAGTGCCCTGAGTAGACGGAATGTAACAGTGATAATAAAAATGTCTTTCAACAAGTATCAGGGTGTCTGCTCAGAGGGAAAGTGCTGGGCAGCTGGTTCAGTTCTGTGTGGTTGTGTGGGTGCCTCCTCACAAGGCCAGCTGCCTCTCGCCCCAGGCCTAGTTCCACAGGAGTCTCAACTGGTGCACGCTACTCAGCCTTGAGAGCGATTGTCTTCCCCTCTCCACCCAACTGCCCTGATTCCTGGGAGAGACGTGCGGGGCCTGGGCTCTAGTCTGAGTCTGCACTGTCAGAATTGTAGCCTAGAAGAAAATGTCTATGACAACATGGACTCAGAGCCTCTCACATCCAGGGTTCAGTACATTTCATAAACTTAAGTGTGCAAACCTCTTGGGTGATTCCCCTTGTTAGCTCTTCTATGAAGGAATGCAGTATAGTTTAATGGGCTCAGAGCTAAGGTCAAAAGCACGGCCAGGATCAGAGGTGCTGGGCAAAGGGAAGCACAGCTTTCTTTGACCTGAAGTCAGGACTGTTATCCCCGGGCTCTCAGAAAATCACCTGTGGTATCTAGGACAGAAGGAGAAGGGTGTGTCCCCTGCTGCATTTAAGGAGCAAAGGCCCTAGGACCCAAAGGGCTGGGGACACCCCATGTGCCAGATATTTGGGAGCTGAACTAAGAAGCAAGAGTGCAGAGGATTCGGGCAGCTGAAGACAAGAGTCCAGGCTTACAAATTCTCCTAAGGACCCCATCCTCGACCCCTTCCGGGCTCAATCACAACCCTTAGCAGACGCTGCAAGCAGAGTTTCTAGCTCGCTGCGGGTCTGGTTCAGGTGGAGGGTGGCGGCTTCGCTACTGCGGCGGCCAGAACGGAAGGACCAAATCTGCTCCAGAGCTGGCCTGTAAGGCATCCGTTTAGATACAGAAGGAGACCGAGGAGAAGGCGGCCCAGAGGGCCGGGGAGCTCCTCCCGCCAGGTGACCACGGGCGGCCGGGACCCCGGAACGGACCTTAGGAGGAAGGGCACTGGGGATGCCCTGGCGTGCCCTGCGGCAGCGCAAATGTCATACGCCCGGACTCTGGTGCAGGTGTCACTATGCCGTTCAACAGAGTCAGGTCCCTGCCCGTCGTGCCTAGTGTATCGAGGGCCCAGTTCGCTTCCCCGACTCGAACGAACCCTGGCGCCGGGTCTCCCTCGGCTTTCTCTCGGCTTCATTCGCCCCTCAGCGGGAAGGGCCCAGATCAGCCGCCGTCTGGCCATCGCCCCCCTCAATGAAGCTCTGCGCCTGCGCCGCCCGTTGTCTTTCGCATAATCTCGCGGAGCGAGAGGAGGCAAGTCGAGTTGAGGCTAGAGCGTCCTCCAGTTTGTATGCGCGGCTGTCCTGGAAGCTAGAGCGTACTACCCAGCTCTATGCTCGGTAGTCCTGGCGGCTAGAGTGTCCTCCCCAGCTCGTATGTCCGGTGGCCCCGGCGGCTAGAGCGTCCCGCCTACTAGGATCCGCGTGTGACCTTTTCTCCTGTGGAACGATGCTGCCGTCGGCCACAAGCCTCCTACGGGGGCCGTGTCTCGGGCTTCGAGCTGCTGCGCTTCGCCTCGCCAGGTACTGCTGGCCGCTGAGGGCTGGTCAGGCTGGTAGGATGGGGCCCTTGGCTCGGCACTCAGGGTGCACGTTGGGGCGGCGTCCGCGGGCGGGGGGCTTCCCCCGACTCGGTGAGTTCCTACGTGGGTGGTAGGCATGGGGCCCCCACTTAACGATCCCCTAACCTCACGGGCTGCCGACAGTTCTGGGGTGGCCCCGGATGACCTTGGACCGGTCCATGGTTTTCTCCGGGCCTCAGTTTCCCTGGCAGTACAGTGACGTGGTAGGACTCCCCTGAGTTGATCTGGCGTTCTACCACCAGGGGCCCCAGGTTCTGAAAGTTTGCGCGGCAAAATGCATTCAGGTAATTGCCTTACGTCCATGGGCTGGTAGAGTTCATCCAAACCGGAAACGTCGTGGGTAGCGTGTCTGCACACAGTTATGTGGGTTTCCAAGGCCCTTTGAAGAATATATAAAGTGGCTGGGAAATCCCTTTTGTTATCCACGCGGTCCCTGGAGTCTGAGAACCTGGGTTGGGACCAAGGAGCTAGATCTTCTGAGCTCATGGCACCTACCTGCCTGGCCCATGTCACCCGGCTGTGCTAGGCTGACGACTCTGTTTTAATGGGGTTCAGGCTACAGGTACCTCACGTCTGCGCTGTGCGGCTTATGAGATGCAGCAGCCATCGAAGGGGGGAGGCCCTCACTGGTGCCCCCCTGGATAACGCCCCCAAGGAGTACCACCCCAAGATCCAGCAGCTGGTCCAGGACATTGCCAGCCTCACGCTGCTGGAGATCTCCGACCTCAACGAGCTCCTGAAGGTATCAGTGCTCAGGCTGGGCAGGGAGCTCTGGGGCCCCTTGCTGGGATATTTGGGAGTTTGGTAAATTATCCAAAGTGTGCTCTATAAATGCAAGGACCTTGCCAGGCGTGTTCTTGAGCATGTCTGGGTGTGACAACCAGCTCCTGAAACTACCCTTCTTTGTCTCTGCAGAAAACACTGAAGATCCAAGATGTTGGATTGATGCCGATGGGTGGCATGGTGCCTGGGGCTGCCCCTGCCCCAGCAGCCCCGGAGGTGAGCTCAGGCCAGGGCATAAAGAGGTGTTTCTCTGGTGTCCAGCTGATATCCTGTCCACCTCACATGGCCAGATTTCTCTCCTCATCCCTTATCTTGGTCCTTCATCAACCAGGCACAGTCTGCAGGTCTGTGCGCTTTCTAGCTGTGGGCACCCCTGCAGCCTCGCTGGCACCTCCTCCCTGCCAAGACTGTGCAGGTTCCTGCCCATGTGAAGACCATGTTTATGGTGGAGGGGAACAGCCAAAGACGAGGAAACAAGAAAAAAAGAAATTGTATCAAACAGAAAGGGAAAAGAATAAGGAAGAAGCTCTTAAGGGAGGGAGAGGGTTACAGTTTCAAGAAAGGCTGCAGGGAAGGTGACTCTGAGGAAAGACTTGAGGAGCTAAGGATCAGAGTGAGGCAGAGGGATGGCAGGGCCATGGAAATCTTGGACTTATCCACAAGGAGAAATAACACAATTATTGATATATGCATGTCCCAGCCTCAGAAATCATAAAGCTTTTGCCACATTTGCTTCACCTGTTCTTTGAAGCTTGAGACATTTCTGGTCTCTTCTGCCTCGTGTGTTCCACCATCCATCTCTGAAAGCACCAGTGTTTCCTCACGTTACCAGGAGCTGTTTGCACAACAAATGCAATTAGCAGGGTTCCCTACCCTAGGCTTTTCAAGTTTTACTAATGGTTCCAGACTTTTTTTAAAATAGTTTTTTATGTATAAGTCTTAATTGAGGCATGCAGGATCTTTTCTGTTGTTGAGGCAGGAGGGCTTCGTTGCCCCAAGCCGTGCAGAATCTCAGTCCCCTGACCAGGAATCAAACCCTTGTCCTCAGCATTGGAAAGCGTATTCTTTAACCGCTGGACCACCAGGGAAGTTCCATTTCCAGACCCTTTTTTTTTTTTCCGTACTTTGTTTTTGGTTGCACAGGGTCTTTGTTGCTGCTTGCAGACTTTTTCTAGTTGTGGAGAGCGAGGGCTACTCTCTACTTGTGGTGCACTGGATTCTCATTGCGGTCACTTCTCTTGGTGGAGTACAGGCTCTAGAGCGCAGGCTCAGTAGTTGTGGCACATGGGCATAGTTATTACAGAGCATGTGGAATCTTCCCTGACCAGGGATCGAACCCATGTCACCTGCATTGGCAGGCGGATTTTCATCCGCTGTAGCACCAGGAACGTCTCAGACTTTCTTTAAAGCAGTCAGTTTACTCAAATCCAAATGAGGTCTGTGTGTTGCATTTGGCTGTTGGGTTTCTCAAGTCTCTTAAATCTGGGTGGCTGCCCTCAACTCCCTTCCCCCAGCCATCACCTACTGAGGAAACCAGGTCAGGGGTCCTGTGGAGCACCCCACATCCCACATGTGTCTGATAGTGCTTCCAGCCTCATCCACACTTCCTCCCCACACCATGACCTGGAATGTGACTATACAGGCTAAACAACTGGGGCAAGGAGAGGGAGAATTACTGTGTTACTTATCTAAACTGGAGTGCTTTTAAGGATAAAGGGGGTGCTGTTAATAATTAGGCAGCAGACCCGAAGTAGAACTGTTGGCCCATGCAGTCCCTGCCCTAGGGGTGCTGTAGTCTTCACCACTGGAGCTCTGTCATGCCTATTTGTTCCATTGTTGGTCACCTGGTGGAGCTGAAGCTGGTTGTAAATTTGTCATCAGTATGTAACCCTGGGCTTGGCTGACGACTATATCAGCACTGCTTTTCTATAGTGTTATTTTAGCTGCAAAGCACTTATGGTGTCATTTTTCCTTGTCTCAAAAGTTACAGTTTTTAAAGGATAAGGAAAGTAGAGTGCTGGGTGGTGGGGGCAAAAGGTAGTTTTAGAGCAGCATCTGGAGAGATGGATCAGGCAAGGAGGGCACCCAGTTTGGCAGCCCGAGCCCGCCCATCTCACTGTGGCCTCCTGGCAAAATCGCTGGCTTAGTCAGGCAGCCTGCCTGGGTCTTGCCTTTGGGTTACAGGACAGGGTGGCCTGGGAATGAATCTGCTTGCTTCACCCCGTCCTTTCTCACCTTGCCACCCACTTCCTACCTCCCTCCCCTAGGCAGCAGAAGAAGACGTCCCCAAACAAAAAGAACGGACACATTTTACTGTCCGCCTGACAGAGGCAAAGCCCGTGGACAAGGTGAAGCTGATCAAGGAGATCAAGAACTATGTCCAGGGCATCAACCTCGTCCAGGTGAGGTTCCGTGTACCACACAGCCCTCTCCCGCCAGCACTGACAGCTCTCAGACTGGCCCAGGCCCAGGTCGGGTTCTGACTTTACTCTCTGGCAGGCAAAGAAGCTGGTGGAATCCCTGCCTCAGGAAATCAAAGCCAACGTGGCCAAGGCCGAGGCTGAGAAGATCAAGGCGGCCCTGGAGGCAGTGGGCGGCACCGTGGTTCTGGAGTAAGCCGCCCAGGAGACTGTGGACAGGGTTCCCGGGCCCTGAGTGGGGCGCTGCCTGCTTTGCGCCCAGCACCCAGGCTCAGTGGATGGAGCAGCCTTGGAGCAGAACTGGGTATCCATACCACGAGGCCAACTCCGTTCTGGGACAGACGGATGGACCTGCTGAGATGGGGAGGGAGGGGCAGCCGCTGACTGTGCAGCCCCAGGGAGAAGGACTCTAGAACCTACCAGGAGTGTACACACCCCCCGTGGCTGCTGGGAAAAATGCATTGTCCAGGCCCTGTGTGTGGAGTCATGTGTGTCAGTTGGGTACCACGTGCAGCAGGCTATCCTCTGAGATCCCAGCGCAGACTTGTCCTGCTAGTGGGGGTGGCAGCTCCTGCGTGGCTGGCACTAAATCTTCACCTGGGAGCTGGTGGGGGCACCTTTGGAACTCCTTGTCTTTAAGTATCGGTGGTCTTTAACAGCAAATACAGACCTGGGCAGGTGAGAGTGAGATGTGTACCATAGGTAGGGCGCAGAAGGCAGGAGGGTGTGCTTTGCAAGCCTACTGCAGTTGGGGGTGTTAACTGCTCCCTTAGAGGGGCTCAGGGAGCCCCTCTTTGTTATAGAGCCAGGGGTTTGGTAAGAAGAGGTGACCTGGTGTCAGAGTGACGTTTACAGGTGGCAGTGACCACCCAAGCTTGCAGGCTCTTGCCTAGTGCCCTCTTTTTCCAAGAACCCTTGGCTTCCTTCTGGGGAAGTGCCGTCACTGGCCCATGCCAGGAGGCCCCTGGGGCTGAGGGCAGGCAGCTAGGGTTAGGGCTTTTTGAGTATCCACTCTGAAGAGGCCCATAGTTCCTGTGACTCGTGGGGACCCACTCCCTCTGGCCTGGGTCTTCAGGTCCCACCTGGAGCCCCCTCCCTTGGTTTGTGGGACCAGAAGGGGACACTCGGTCTGGGAGTGCTACCCTCTGAGTGAGATGGCTCAGGATAGGCCCAGGAGCTGCTAGGCTCCCAGATGGATGTGCCCAGCAACCCCCACACCACCTCGGGGTCCTCCACAAGAACGTGCTTCCAGCTGGCCATCATTGCAGGAAGAGTCCCAGGAGAGGGGAAGTGGCCCCCTGACTGGAGAGCCTCATTAGCCAAGCCTGGGGCCCATGAAGTTAACGATTGGCCAGCATCAGATCTCTGAGTGTGCCTTCACTTAGCAGAGGGGCTAGCTGGCTACCTGGGGCTAAGTGTGGGCTGCTAATCTGCTGCCTTTTCCTAGGGGCAGGGAGTGGTCCAGGCTCAGGGATAGCCCTCAGCCCAGGCCTGTGGGGTCACAACCCACCTCCCACCCTATGAGTGACCTTTAAAGGCCACTTATCCTCTGAGCTCCTTCATCTTTTTCCAGGGCAGCTAGGGTGATGACATGGGCTCCCTTCACCCCACCCGCCAAGGATGGGCCACTCTGTCCATGGTAGTATTGCTAAAGGCGTCTGTACCTGCGGGACCATCAAGCCCAACTCCTCCCACATTGCTTACAACAGACAGGATGCTGCCATGGTGCTCCCACCCGACCCCAAAGTCCTGTCTGAAAGCACTGAAGACTCTCGGCCTCCCGTCCCAGGCCGCTTCCTGGCCCGAACCTCTGACCCTTCCAGCTCCCCCAATCTGCTCCAGCCTGTGGTGGCCATAAGGTGTCGCAGACCTGGAGTTAGGTTGGGTGTGCCACTGGGGATCACCCTGGGTCCCTGGAGCCCACTCAGCCCTTAGGCCTGGTGTTGGGAGGTGGGCCTGCTGGGCATCCTGAGTTGCCCTGCTGGCACCCACGAAGAACCTAGAAGATCCCTTCAGAGCCTGGTAGGAGTTGGCCTTCGTGCAGGCTCATGAGATGATCACAGAGGACACAGCAGTGGGAGAACCAGAGCTGGCCATGTGCTTCTCACCCCATAGACACCCCCCACCTCCTCCTCCCTGCCAATTCCAGGGACCCTGACATATGCCAGGCCACCCACATGGCTGCATCCTCCCTGCCCGGAAACCAAGAGAAAGTGTGTAAATGCTGCAGCACAGACACCAGATCCCAAAACAGGCCTGGCCTGGCAGCCAGGCCAAGCCGTTGTCCAAAGTCCCCATCCCTTCAGATTTATGCACAAGTGTTTGGGATCCTTTTGAAAATTTGGGATTTTTTTTAGTTCCTTGACCTATAGTTTGCAAAATCCACCTTTTTCTAAAAAGAGTGCTCCACTCTTGGGGCATTCCTGTTTTTCCCAGGATTTCTCCCATACTTCCAACTGCCTTTTCGGCACATCTCTACCCCTGGCCCCATCCCAGGCTCCTTGGCAATTCTAGGCTGGATATCTCTGCAGCCAGCTGTTCACCCTCCCGACTGATGACAGAGGGCAGAGGCGTCCTATGGTTCTAGAAGGCAGTTTCCTTAGTTTCCAGGAGGCCTCTTTAGGTAAATAGCAGGGTTTGCTCTGGCATCTTGCCTCCGACAGAATCCCTATTTGCTTAGGCTGGGCTGGACTTGTTATTCCTGGTGACTGGTGGGTCCAGGGACCAAGATTTGCTTCCCTGGTGCCCCTCACCCTTCTCCCTTGGGGTGGGGGCAGCAGTGGCTAAGCTGGGACAGCAGGACACGGGGCCTTTACTAGTGCAGAGGTCTCTGGCTCTGCCTCCCCTGAGATCCATGGGGCCCCGTCCAAAAGCGGCCCTGGGGACCCAGATTCCTCTGCCCCGCTGGCGCGCCTTCTGGCTAGCAGCACACCTGCGCTTCCAGTTGATGGGAGGTGCGCGTCTCCTGCTCCGGCTAGGCCGGGAGTTTGTTGGCTACCGTCTCCCAGGAGCCTGAGCCCTCACGCCCAGAATCCCCATCCTGTGCCGCCTCAGGGTAGCTGTCTGGGGGCTGTCTGGTCAGAGCTGGCCAAAGGCTGGGCGTTCGGGAGGGATGGGTGGGCGGGGCGGCTAGTCTCCGAATTGCCTGTAATCCGCAGGTTGGCCCCGTGGAGGTTTTCCGCTGCCCCTAGCAGCAGTAAGTATCCGGGGCCTGCGCCGCGGGGGTGGGAAACCGGGACCGCGGCAGCGGCAGGGCGCTTTTGGGAGGCAGGCCTCTAGGATGGGTGGGGGCTGGCCGAGCGCCCAGACTACTCGGGCCTTGACCTTTGTAGACGTGACTTAGGCGCCGGGGCTGCCCCGTGGGCTGGCCGGCGCAGGATAGGGGAGGCCCCAGGTCCCTGAGAGGAGCGAAGAAGGTCCACCTAGCAGGCTTCCTGCGGTCCGGCCAGTTGGGGGTCCCACTAAGGGGGTCCGACTGAGCCGCCTCCACTGGGGCGGCTCGGTGGAGCCCACCACGCTAGCGTACAGAGCCGCGGCCGCTTTAAGGCTCGGGACCCACCCTCGGACTTGGGGGTGGGGTCTGCGAGACCCCGCCCCTTAGCTCCCGCCCCCGGGCCGCGCGGGTGCATTGGTTGTCGGCGACTAGGGCGGCCGGCGAACCTTTGAACGCGCGGCGGGCGGCTGCGAGGACCGGGCTGGGTCGGGCCGGGCCGGGCCGGGCCGAGGTGGGTGCTGGAGCGGGGCCGGGCCGGCGTCTGGGTTTCACAGGCCGGGTCGGGGCCGGTACCTGCGCTCCTTGGCAGCGGCGGCGGCGTCCGGGCCATGGCGGAGGAGGCGCGCGTGTCGCGCTGGTACTTCGGTGGGCTGGCGTCATGCGGGGCCGCCTGCTGCACGCACCCGCTGGACCTGCTCAAGGTGAGCATGGCGTGGGGAGGGCCTCGGGCCGGGCTGTCGCCCCCTCCCGGAGGCTCTGCGTGGAACGGGCGGCAGAGGTGCCCCTTGGCCCCCCGCTCTGCTACCTGTGTGACCTTGGGCTGGTCTCCCTCCCAGCTCTCCTGAGGGTGGTTCTCTGTGAGCGCAACTGTCGGCACCCCGGCAGGACCACGCGCTCCTCTGCCTAGTGGGTGCCTACCAAACACACCGGTAGACGAAGGAGGGATGTGGCCGGCACCCCTGCTTTGGGCTGCTTCCTCCTGGGAGGTGGGTGAGCATCTGGAAGCCATGATCCCAGCCTGCGTGCAGGTCCTGCCCAATGAGGGTAATTGTTTCTTCCATCGAGAAGCAATCACACTCATTCTACATTTTTTTTTTTAATAAAATGCCTATGGGGCAGAATAAGACAGAGTTTCCCTTGTCTCTGAGACAGACCAGTTTTTTGCTCATTTCTCACCACAAACAACAAAAGAACGGCTAGAAACTCAAAGCATATTTTGGCAACTGGGCCCTGGGCCCCGGTACCTGGGCCGTGGTCTTGCGGAGTCTGTTGGCAAGAGCGGTCACCTGGCCATCCCCTTCCTTATTCTCACCCAGAGCAGCCTGAAACCCACGCTACCCCCCTTGGAAGGATTGGCACCTGTGTCGTGGGCTGATCCAACTATCCCTCAAGCTTCAGCCTAGTCACCAGGAAAGGCAGGATTAGTAGACGTTGGGGGTGGGGCTGAAACTGGCAGCCCCTCCAGCATTTCAGAGATCTGAGAGAGTCCTGTGTGGCTCCTGGTAGCCGCCAGGACCTGTGACGTGGCCTGGCTGAGCAGGGCCAGGTATTAAGGTGCTTTTAGTCTGTAGGAAGAGGAAACCTTTCTCATGCCTGCTTTGTTTTACTTTCTGGGTGCCCACGCAGGTCCCTGTGCCCTCCTCCCCCATCACAGGCCCTGGAGAGTCAGACTGACTGTCTGCCCGGAGATAGAAACAGCTTTCACGGACTCTTGGAGCCTTCCCTGGCCCCAGGCCAGCCTTTTCCCTTGTCCAGAGCTCCTTTGGGCGTCACTGCCCCTTGCCCTAGCCCCAGGTGTTATTTTGCTGCAGTACACTTAGCGTGGGGGTGGGAGTCTGGGAGGTGGCTGGCCACAGGAATGTGGCTGCCCTCTGGCTCAGGGAGCACATGGCCTTGGGCTGGGCTGCAGCAGGCGGTGTGGGCAGCCATAGAGGCCTCTAGCAGAGGAGGCCCTGGCCAGAGTTTTTAATCTCTCGGCATTGTCTTTGGGAAAAAAAAGTATCTTAAAGCTCCTGACCTCTGCCTTTGCCCCACGTCTTGGCTGCACCCTCACAGTGGCTTCTTGCTTGCACTGGGTGCTGCTGCTTGGCCACCCTGCCCCCAGGCCCCAGGCCCTAGGTTCCCGGCTCACCGCCGAGAGAGACTAATTCAGCAGAGTCAGTAACTTGCCCCATTGTGTCCAGTCAGGACGTGTAGGACCTGAGAGTGTGGTGCAAGAATGCACTCCGAAGTGCCCCTCCCCTTGGGTGCCCTACGGAGCCCCACCCACCTTTCCTGAGTCTCCCGTTTCCTGAGGACATCTCTCAGTCCCCTAATTCTGTCCCTCTCTGGAGGCTACCAAGTGGGGCTCTGGAGTCTCCCAGTGTCCTCATCTAAAGGACGGGGCTGATGACTCCGCCCCAGGGCAGCTGGAATTGCACTCCCATATTGGCTGGCCTTGTCTTCTGTGAGGTGATGGCGTGGAACAGAGCTTGGTGCCAGACGCCCCAGCTGGTGCCTTAGGAGACCTCAGTTTCCTGTCTCAATATGGGTGCTGGTAGCACTTGTAGCAAAGGGCTTCAGAGCGGAGCTGGCCGGGGGCGGGCTCTAGGTGGGGTGCGGCTCTGAGCGGGTGGGACCCCTCCCCCACAGGTGCACCTGCAGACGCAGCAGGAGGTGAAGCTGCGCATGACGGGCATGGCGCTGCAGGTGGTGCGCTCTGACGGCATCCTGGCGCTCTACAACGGACTGAGCGCCTCCCTCTGCAGACAGGTACCTCTGAGGGGGCCCCATCTCCCAGGGTAGTGGGTGGGTGGGGGCTCATGGCCAGCAATCCCTTCGATCCCTTAAGTCTTGATCCCAGAGCCCACTCTCAGCCCACGGAGGCAGAGGGGTTGCTGGCCTCCCTCCTGCCCACCGTAGGTGCCCTTTGGGCCTGGAAGTTAGTCTCGCATTCTCAAGACTGCTTACAAGGACAGAACTACAAGGCCTAGGAGACCAGCAGCCCCCGGGGAGGGCGCAGGGCATGGCTTCTGCCTTGCACAGAGTCAGCCCAGCTGGCACAGCTGGCCCAAGACCTCCACCTACAGGTGGGGAAACTGAGGCTTGTAGGGACGTGGTAGGGGATGAGGAGGGGTGGGGCCAGGTTTTTGAATTAGCTCAACTGCTTGCTAGTTGTATGGCCTCTGGAAGGTTCCTGGGTGTCCCTGTAGCCCACATGGTGATGTTCGTGCACTGGAGGGCCAAGGATGTGGGGGGTGCCCAGCGCCATCCTTCCTCCTGCACCTTCTGAGCTGGGCCCCTTCTCCCCAGATGACCTACTCCCTGACTCGGTTTGCCATCTACGAGACCGTGCGGGACCAGGTGACCAAGGGCAGTGAAGGCCCCTTGCCCTTCTACAAGAAGGTCTTGCTGGGCTCCATCAGCGGTGAGCAGCCGGGAGGGAGGGGGTGGTGCAGGTGAGGCAGGAGGCATTGCCAGCGGTCACGTGTTGGCTGTTGTGCCAGGTTGCATCGGCGGCTTTGTGGGGACCCCTGCGGACATGGTCAACGTCAGGTCAGTGCGGCCCTGAGGCCAGGGTCTTGCTGTCCCCCGGCAGAGCCAGGTTGGCTCACGAGGGTCTCGGTGTGTTCAGCCTGGAACATGTCGCTCAGATCTTGGGGTCTGGGGTGCTGGAGGGTGGTGCTGAGCCTGTGGTGGGGCAGCCCCGGGCGGGGCCAGCTGTTCACTCCCGCTGGGGTCTGTGGAGTGTCTGGCCCTGCTCCCCTGAACTCTCTGCTTGTTTTCAGGATGCAGAATGACATGAAGCTGCCCCAGAATCAGCGCCGAAAGTGAGTCACATGGTGTGCCCAGGGGTTTGAGGGCCAGGGTTGAGAAGACCCCTGAGCAGCTCTTCAGGACCCAGTGGGGACTCCCACGGGCCACCACATCTGTGGGGCCACGTGGAGCAATGGGGTGGCTGATGGATGTTGGAAACATACATAGTGAGCGTCTGTTCTGGAATCCCAAGGGGGCTTCCAGCATCTCTGGGTCCTACCCCTGTGGGAGGACCCAGGATTGGGGGCCGGACTGGGCGGTGGGCAGGAGCTGGTCACTCTGCTCCCTGTTGCACCTGTACATGCTTCATGGAGGGTAAGTTAGAAGCTTAAGTGGTCTTCAAAAGGGTTTGGGGGCTGGGTGGTTATTTCTGTGATAAAAACATCATATTGTGAGAGATCTGAGACACCGTGGGTTCTGAGACCCTGTTTATGGACAGACTCTGTAGTTAAACCCTGGGCGCCAGCATCAGCCAGTTCAGGGAGGAGTGTGGCCTCAGGCGATCCCATTGTCCACTCTGGCCAGAACATAGGCCATGGGGAGGGCAGACTGAATAGGTTGGGAAGGGGACCCTGCAGGGCGTCCCATCCTCCTGCCCGTGGTAACAGCCTGCAGGCATGACCAGCCTCGGAGCTGGCAGCCCCCCAGCGAGGGGGTTCTCCTTTGGAATGCGGGGGATCTTTAGGCCCTGAGGTCCCCTGAGCAGTGAGACCTCTCTGAGCTCTCAGAAAAGGCTGATGTCCTCTGGCCCTGAGATGCCCTCTGGCCCTGAGATGCTTTGGGTTCTTCCTGGCCTGTGATGGGGGTATGGCTGTTTGTGGGGAGGACCTTCCCGTGGGAGCCTGTGGTCAGGGATAGCATCACTCTCTGTCCCCCGGCAGCTATGCCCACGCCCTGGACGGCCTGTACCGTGTGGCCCGAGAAGGTAAGACAGGAGGTGGGGGCCTGGGGCAGCCTCCAGGCAGGACCCGGTAGTGGGCCTTGGGGGGAGGCTGGGATGGGGGTGCTTCGGGCTGGGTACCCAACCTCTCCTCTTCCCCCGACAGAGGGTCTGAAAAAGCTGTTCTCAGGCGCAACCATGGCGTCCAGTCGAGGGATGTTGGTCACCGTGGGCCAGGTAGGACTTTGGCTTGGGGTGGCCCTCTCAGGCAGCACCTGGGGGTTGGGGGCCTGGAAGGCAGCGGGCACTGACACCGGTGTGGCTGCAGAGCCGGGCTCAGGCAGGTCTGGGCCGCGTCTGTCCGCCCGGTGCGGCGCCCGTAGATGACCCACGGGGCAGGTACTTGGTCAGTCCAGCTGGTGTCGTTGCAGGCCCCATCTGCTTTCCCCTGAGCTGTCCCTCGTGTCCTGACCATCTCCATTTCATAACAGCTGTCCTGCTATGACCAAGCCAAGCAGCTGGTCCTCAGCACGGGCTACTTGTCCGACAGCATCTTCACTCACTTTATCGCCAGCTTCATTGCGGTGAGTAGCGTGGGGTCCCTGACCAGCCTTGGCAGCTGGGGGCGCCTGGGCGGAGCAAGGGCTCAGAATGGTGGGAGGCTTTGGCGAGGTTGGTGGCTGCCCTTCTCAGGCTCTGCATTAGTGGGAGGAGCCCACGGATCCCCAGAGCCCAGGTTGGGAGTGTTCGTGTTGTCCCCATGGCCCTGGGGACACCTCCTGGGGGTCCAGACGGGCCTGTGGAGGGGAAGTAGGGGGTGCCTTCCTGGCAGACCCATTGGTGACAGCTTGCCCTCCAGGGTGGATGTGCCACATTCCTGTGCCAGCCCCTGGATGTGCTGAAGNTAGGGCGGGGGGGGGGGTGTCCCTCTAGGGTTGTCTTCATGTTCCCCTCCTTTGTCCCGCAGGGCCTCGTGCCTGCTGGTATCCGCCTCATGCCCCACACCGTGCTCACGTTTGTGTTTCTGGAACAGCTTCGCAAGCACTTTGGCATCAAAGTGCCATCCTGATGTGGTGGTGGGAGCAGCTGGGTCACACCCAGCCCCCTGCACCAGTTTATTCCAGAGTCCCAGAGGGTTGGCAGCTGAGCACTGCGCTGAGCCCAGCACCTGCCCACCATGCTCCAGCTGCCCCCTCTGGCCCAGGACCCCCACCCTGGCCTGCCTGGCCAGCCCGGTGACCATTGTCCCCTCCTGAGCTGCTGGCTTCACCTCCATCTCCTGCTGTCGCCGCTGACTCTCCCTACTTGGTGTCCAGCGGCGCCCTGTGCACAATAGTGACTCCCTTGGAGGGCCTGGGCCCCAGGTTGGGTATTCTCTCCCCAGGTAGGCAGTTAATCTTGGAGCTGGGAGGGGTGGGGTGTCCAAGCTTTTAGGGTCTGGGGTCTCCAGCCCCTGAAGTCTCTTCCTTTCACGAAGCCCAGGACCCCCAGCAGCTCCCACTGAGGAGCCGGGTAGCGGAATAGGGGTGTGAACCCCCAGCACCACTCATCGAATGGCGTGTGCACATGCACTTTCATCCCAGGAGAGGGACCATAGCTTTCGTGATGTTCCTTAAGGTAGCTGCGCCCCACAGCTGCCAGGTCAGAGCAGAATGAGTACCCAGGAGGAAGGGCCTGCGTGTGACCCTTAGGCACCCTACCTACCCTTCCTGGTCCAGCCCACCCCCCACTGGCTTTAACAAGTGAAAGTGAAAGTTGCTTAGTCATGTCCAACTCTTTGTGACCCCGTGGACTCTCCAGTCCATGGAATTCTCCAGGCCAGAATATTGGAGTGGGTAACCCGTTCCCTTCGCCAGGGGATCTTCCCAACCCAGGGATCGAACCCAGGTCTCCCATATTGCAGGCGGATTCTTTACCAGCTGAGCCACCAGGGAAGCCCTGCTTTAACAATTAATTTCACCAAAAGCTTTCAGCGCCAGAAGGTGGCTGCTGTCTTCGGGGAGTATTCTGTGACCCCTCCTGGCTCCCTGAGCAGGAGTGGCACGTTCCACGGGGGCTGATTGCACAGTGGTCACCTGCAAGGTCTCCAGTAGCTGGTCAGCCAAAATACCCAAAGCAGCCTGCAAATGAGGCTGGGGGCTGCATCTGTCGGCCTCCCCCAGTCAGGTGGTCACTGTGCCACTACCCCCTGCCCCCAGCAAGTGACCAGCAGTCCCACATTGCCCTGCAGGGATGTTAATAAAGGATGGTGAAGTGCTGAGTCTGGTTCTGCATCCAGGCCCCTAACTAGTCTGCCTCGTGGCCAGGGCCTATGAGATCCTCCTTTGCACCTTCCAAAGAGGGCTCTAGGGTTTATGGACGGGCAGGCCCAAAACAGGGGAGAAGTCACAGCTCTGACTGGATACACTGGGGTGGCCAGTGGGCAGAGGGCTGGGGGAAGAGCAGGGCATGGGGCTGGTTGAGGGACTAGTCAGTGTTGCAGTCCTGGATCCGGGTCACCGTGGATCCCCCACCCAGGGCTGCCCCTTCCCAGCAGGCACGAGACAGAGTTCCCAGCAGGCACCTGCCACTACAAGCCCCCCAAGACAATTCCTGTGGTGGGGGCAGTGGGCAGTGCTGCTGCCTGATCTTCCTGGAGGTGCCCCTTGAGTCAGAGCCCTGGCCTTTTAGATGCTGGCCTATCATCTAGCAAACCCAGATGGGACTGGCCAACCTAGGTTCTATGGGCTACAGGCCCCCAGGCTGGGGCAGGAGCTGGTGTGAACACCACCTGACCTTTTGCTGTCCCAGGACAGGTGGAAGCTACCCTGGAGCTCCTGCTGCCCCAGTCGGGAAAGAACAGATACACCCCAGGCAGTTCAGAGTCAGTGCCTCTGACACCCTTGCCATGAAGCAAGGAGACTTGTGGAGCATTTCAAGCAGATAAAAAGAATTTTTAAGTCGTGGTTATGGTTGCATAGCTCTGTAACCTGAAAATGACTGTATTTCAACAAAGCTGTTACTTAAACAACACACCACCCACATGCCCACCCGAGCCTCAGCAGTGAGTTTTCACTGGGCCTGTGTTCTCCAAGCCCTACAGACCCTTTCCCACCACTGGATTATTTGGAAGCAAATTCCAGATGTCCTATCATTTATAGATAAATACTTAACAAGCCTCCGAAAACAGTCTTTAAAAAATTCTAACATAACTGCAATAATAACTCACTGTACATAAAATGGCCCGTGTTACCATCATCAAATTTCCTGGGTTAGCACATGCATGTCATTAAGTAGTTGGTTTTGTTTGAATCAGTCCAGCTGAGATCTACTTACATCTCTATGGTGCACGTCCCCTCCTCGTCCTCTCTCTGCGAGATAAGCCAGGTCCTGGATCCAGTTGCTTCTCCCGTCCGATTTGGCCCCTTCCTCTGTGAATTTCCTAAAAGTGTCAGAGAGATCTGGATTAGAGTCACATTTTTGGGTGACGGTGCTGGGTGTGAAGTGTGGTTTCCACTGCAGTGTTTGGGCACGAAGCAGCCATGGGTCTGGGAGAACACATGGCTGGGGGCCAGGCTTCCTGAGCCCTGGGCAGGCAGGCAGGCAGGCGGGCATGGAGCACCCAGAGCCTCACAGAATGTCCAGTCTGGTGCCCCAGCACCCAGGCTGGAGTCTCACTGGGTGGTTGGAACCCAGAGCCCAGGAACTAAAGCGGGAAGGGCGGGAGCACATGACTGTGGTTGTGGGGCAGGCTGACGCTTCTCTCAGACCCCTGGCAAGTTGAAAACAGCAAATCTCAGAAACATTGGCCACACAGGGCCACATTGCCTGCCCTTAAAGCTGCTTTGATTTGAAGCATTGGGATCCTCTTTACTTGCCTGCAAGAGTGCCCAGGCAGCCTGGGAAGATGGCATTTCACCAGCCTCCTCCCAGCCAGCCAGCTTACGTGGCGCTTCCTGGACCAGTGTCAGGGGACGAAGGGCCCCATGTGGTTTGGGGAGGATACTGCAGAGCTGGGTGCAAAGGGTAGTGAAGGGATGCAGTGTTTACTGGTGGGCCGTGGGGGAGGGCTTCAGGCACCAGCCCTGTAGGGGCCCAGCGTCCTGGATGGGGGCACAGAGGGGGAAAGCGAGGCAGGCCAGGGAAAGCAGGAAAATTGGGGCAAGTTAGGGATGAGGCCCTTCCCCAGGGAGTTCTCCACCTGTGTTGGCTCAGAACCAGTCTGAGAAGGTCAGCAAAATAGAGGAGCAGCCTCACCTGCAGGTCACCTGATTCAGGTAAGGAAGTGATGGATTTCACACTGGCAGGGAAGCAAGCTCAGCATTTCATGGTTCAGTCTCCACCTTTCTTCCTTAAAGACAATAGTTCACAAAAAGTTACACAGCAGGAGTCCACTGTCAAGAAGTTTGAGCAAGGGTGCCAAGACAAGGCAGTAGGGAAAGACGCCTTTTCGACAACTGGACATCCACACGCAGAGTGAGTGTGGGCCCTCCCACACACAGGCATACGTTTCTCAAAATGGACCACAGAGTTGAAACTGTAAAATGTGTAGAAATGAATGAAGACCATGCAAATGAGAACAAGCGAGGCTGTGTGCTTGGCTTGCTCTAGCAGGAAGGCAGCCCCCTCACTTGCATGTTGGCAGAGCCTTAAAGAAGGCAGAGGAGGGGGTGGCTTCATCATGAGAGGGGGGCTCAGGTGCACCCCAAGTGGGAGCTGTGGGCTTGAGGAAGCTGTGGGGGGCCAACTGGAGGTGCTGCAACCCTTGTGGTTCGTTAGGGGAGCATACTTGTCTTTCTCTGGTTGGTCCTGAGTTGGAAGCGGAGGCAGAAATTAGGGAAGCTGGCAATTATTGGCCAAGTTTGGGCCTATTGCTACAGGGGCTTAGAAACACTTGGCCACGAAGAAACTTGCACAGGAACCTTCAGAGCAGCATTTTACTCTTACAGCAAAAAGGTGGAAACGACCCAAATGGCCATCATCTGATGAGCAGATAAGTCAAATGTGGTATATTTGTATAATGCAATACTATTTGGCCATACAAAGGAGTGAAACACTGGCATACTGCAACATAGATGAAACCTGAAAACACGCTGAGTGGAAGCAGTCAGTCACTAAAGACAATGTATTATGTGATTCCGGCTACAGTCCATGGGGTCACAGAGTCAGATGTGACTGAGCGACTATCACTTTCACTTTTTCATTTGTATGAAGGGTTTAGAATAGGCCAATCCAGAGACAGGAAGTATTGGGTTGGCAAAAAAGTTCATTCAGGTTTTCCTGCATGATCTTATGGGAAAACTAGAATGAACTTTCTGGCCAACCCAATAGATGAGTGGTTGCCAGAAGTCAGGATGGGGTAGGGTGAGGTGGGGTGGGGTGTAGTGGGGTGGGGAAATTGGGAGTGACTACAGACGGAGACAGATTTCTTTTTGGAGTTATGGAAATGTTTCAAATGTAGTAGTATAGGATGGTTGCACAATTCTATGAATAGTACTAAAAATCATTGACTTGTACACTTTATTTTTAAAAATATTTATTTAGTCACACTGGGTCTTAATTTTGGCACGTGGGATCTAGTTCCCTGAACAGAGATCGAACCTGCCCACCCCTGCATTGGGAGCATGGAGTCAGCCACTGGACCACCAAGGAAGTCCCCTGAATTGTACACTTTTAATGGAGGAATTATATGGTATGTGGTGACTAAAATTTTTTCTCCTTGACCAAACTCTAGCCAGGCTGGTCTCAAAGCCTGCTTCTGCTTCAGGCCTGGAAAGACTCGGTTTCTGACAGTTCAAACTGCGTACCCGGGGCAACCCCAGCCCCGCTTAGAGCACCCACCCGAGGCTCGGGCCTCTTTGAGAACACAACAGCTCACTTCAGACAAGTGCTGTTAAGGGGCTAGATGGGGTCTCCCAGCCTCCTGCCTGCTTTATAACTGTCTGCTGCCTGACTCCATTGCCTGAGCTCTCAGCCCTCCCAATTCCCATATTTTCACTTTAAAACACCAGTTACCTCCGCACAAGTTGAAATGGAGTTCAGTTCACGCTGGAACTGTCCCCACTGGGAGTATAGTGCTGATTAGAACCTGTCCTTTGCACTTCAGTGTCTGGCTGTGTTGATCTCTGTGGTCTCTCTGTTGACACATTGGACTGTGTCTCAGTGAGGCTGTCTGGTATTCTGTCCAGCAGGCTCCATCCCTGGGTCAGGAAGATCCCCTGGAGGAGGGCATACATGAAAATGCCAGCCTTCCAGTATCCTTGCCTGAAGAATCCCATGGACAGAGGAGCCTGGTGGGCTACAGTCCATGGGGTCGCAAAAGTCAGACACAACTGAAGTGACTTAGCATGCACGCACACAAGGACACATTAAATGAGGAATGCCATGTGGTGCCTACAGAGGCATCAGCAGTCAGAGAGCCACTCTGATGTGATGGAGGCTGGGGACTCTGGGGACAGGAGGGCATCTTTGTGATGTACACACTCCTAAGTACCTGTCCTGCTCCAGCCCTGTTGATCCAGCTCTTGGTGGAATTCTGGATCCTGGAATGAGGCTGCTGGCATTTGGGGCAGCTGGAGATGAGGTTCAAATCTTGCAATCAGTCTAAAGGAGCACAGAGGGCCAGACAGGGCAGATAGGAGTGGTGGCCTGGGAAGGTAGCTGACCCCCACCAGCTGACCCGGGGACAAGGCGGAGCTGGAGCTGTCCACATCTCCCCTGCTTCACTCCCTTGTTACTGAAACTGGTCAGTCTGCGTGTTTATAAATAGTTGTTTCAAGTAACCCATGCACCACAATACAAATTTGCACACCCAGCAGGGTTTTCAGGGGATGGATTACTTCCTGCCAACCCCGGGCCCTGGCCCCTTCCCAGAAAAACAACCACGGCCACTAGGTCTTGGGTATTTTTCCCACTTTGCTTGAATTTAACAGGAAAAAAAGAAAAACATAAGTGAGGTGGAAGAAATGCCAGTCTTCAGAAAGTATTTATTTTCCACCAGAGATACTAGTTCCCCAAAGAGGATGGAAACACCAGGAAAGTCGAGTCATGCAGTTTTGTTCCCCTCCTACTGACACCACCCGCTCCCCCATTTCCTAATTGCTGACAAGCTGGAAGAACCGGAAGGCAGTGGAAGGCACCCAACACAGCACCCAGGGGCCCAGTACCACCTCTGGGAGGCCACTCTGAGCTTGGCTCCCACAGCTGCCCTCCCGTCTCCAGGGGCCGGACAGCAGCCTGCCCGGATCACCCAAGCCAGGAGGTGGGGGGTGTGTACAGCTTG